GCAATAACAGGGATTTTTCTGACATTGAAATCATTGGGCACACACAGTGCATTCGGAAAGTATGCAGACCCCTTCAGTTTTTCCACATTTTGTTACGTTACAGCATTATTCTAATATGGATTAAATAAATAAATACAAAATCATCAATCTACACACAATACCCCATAATGACAAAGCAAAAACAGGTTTTGAGATTCCGATACCTTATTTACAAAAGTATTCAGACCCTTTGCTATGAGACTCAACATTTAGCTCAGGTGCATCCTGTTTCCATTGATCATCCTTGAGATGTTGCTACAACTTCATTGGAATCCACTGTCACGACTTCCGCCGAGGCTGCCTCCCCTCCTTGTTCGGGCAGGTTTCGGCGTTCGTCGTCACTGGTTTACTAGCTACTGCCGATCCCATTCTCACCACTCCACTTGTCATGTCTTGTCTTGTCAATCACACACACCTGGTGCTCATTCCCCTAATTAGTATGTGTATAAGTGTTCCCCTTGTCTTTGTGAGTGATTGTTTCATTGTGAGAGCGAGTAGCTCGGTTGAGCTGTTATTGCCAAGGTGGAATATTTCCTTTGTGATAGTTTCGTTTTGACGCTGGGTGCGTTTTATTTATGTAAACTGAATAAACTCTGGACTTCGGTGTTTTACCTCCTGCGCCTGACTCCTTCATTCACACCTCGTCACATCCACCTGTTGTAAATTCAATTGATTGAACATGATTTGGAAAGGCACACACCTGTCTATATAAGGTCCCACAGTTGACAGTGCATGTCAGAGCATCCAAGCCATGGGGTTGAAGGAATTTTCCGTAGAGCTCCGAGACAGGATTGTGTCGAGGCACAGATCTGGGGAAGGGTACCAAAACATTTCTGCAGCATTGAAGGTCCCCAAGAACACAGTGGCCTCCATCATTCTTAAATGGAAGAAGTTTGGAACCACCAGGACTCTTCCTAGAGCTGGCCACATGGCCAAACTGAGCAATCGGGGGAGAAGGGCCTTGGTCAGGGAGGTGACCAAGAACCTGATGGTCACTCTGACAGAGCTCCAGAATTCCTCTGTGGAGATGGGAGAACCTTCCAGAAGGACAACCATCTCTGCAGCACTCCACCAATCAGGTCTTTATGGTAGAGTGGCCAGACGGAAGCCACTCCTCAGTAAAAGGCACATGACCGCCGCTTGGAGTTTGCCAAAAGGCACCTAAAGGACTCAGACCATGAGAAACAAGATTCTCTGGTCTGATGAAACCAAGATTGACCCTTTTGGCCTGAATGCCAAGTGTCATGTCTGGAGGAAACCTGGCACTATCCCCACGGTGAAGCATGGTGGTGGCAGCATCATGCTGTGGGGATGTTTTTCAGCTGCAGGGACTAGGAGACTAGTCAGGATCGAGCGAAATATGAACGGAGCAAAGTACAGAGAGATCGTTGATGAAAACCTGCTCCAAGAGCGCTCAGGACCTCAGACTGGGGCGAAGGTTCACCTTCCAACAGGACAACGACCCGAAGCACACAGCCAACACAACGCAGGAGTGGCTTCGGGACAAGTCTCTGAATGTCCTTGAGTGGCCCAGCTAGAGCCCGGACTTGAACCCGATCAAACATCTCTGGAGAGAACTGACAATAGCTGTGCAGCGACGCTCCCCATCCAACCTGACAGAGCTTGAGAGGATCTGCAGAGAAGAATGGGAGAAACTCCCCAAATACAGGTGCGCCAAGCTTGTAGCGTCATACCCAAGAAGACGCAAGGCTGTAATCGCTGCCAAAGTTGCTTCAACAAAGTACTGAGTAAATGGTCTGAATAATTATGTAAATATTTCAGCTTTTTATTTTTTATAAATGTGCAAACATTTCTAAAAAGCTGTTTTTGCTTTGTCATTATGGGGTATTGTGTGTAGATTGAGATTTTAAAATAAATCCATTTTAGAATAAGGCTGTAACGTAACAATGTGGAATAAGTAAAGGGGTCTGAATACTTTGCGAATGCGCCGTATATTTCCACATGAGGTTGGAATAATACTGTGAAATTTTGAAAGTTATGATAATGCTCTGTTAATGTTTGTTTTTTAATGGATTAAAAAGACAGCCTGAAATTTCTGCTTGTTTTGGTGGGATGGAGTTTTGTTCGCCTGGGGACATCACATAGTTAATAGACAAATAAGAAAAAGTTCCTAAACTCTCTGCCAAGAACAGCTAGTTTTCAGTTTTCTCCTCCCAATTCAGACCACTCCCAGAGTCCTAGCAGAGTTCTTGCTTGAGAAATTGCTCTTTGCTAAGAAGCTATTTTTGTTTCTTTTTTGACCATTTTAATAAAAAACAATCACAGTAAGGTACTTAATTGTTCCCCAAAATTATTTGATATCAATATAAAAACGGCTGCGTTGGATATTTAAAACTATAACATTTTCTCTCAGCTCCATGGAAAATGGGTAGAAATAATACAATAATTCTCTACACCCCCAAGATGGGGGTCCTCAAATCTTCTCTAAAATTCAGTCGTGCCCATTGTCACGCCCCCTGACATGCCCACCACCTAAGCCCCTTTTTGATACAGAAAAAACCCTGAACAATGTGAATGATTAATAATATGCGGCAGGTAGCTTAGTGGTTAAGAGCGTTGTGCCAGTAACCGAAAGGTCGCTGGTTCTAATCCCTGAGCCAACTAGGTGAAAAATCTGTTGATGTGCCCTTGAGCAAGGCACTTAACCATAATTGCTCCTGTAAATCGCTCTGGATAAGAGCGTCTGCTAAATGACTTAAATGTAAATTGATTTCCTAATTGGCCTCCTTTTGTTGTGTGTGTGTGTGAGAGAAGTGCATGATTTTGTTTATTGGCAGTAGGGCTTTGGCGGTCGTGAAATTTTGTCAGCCGGTTAGTGTTATGCAAGTGACTGCCGGTCTCACGGTAATTGACGGTTAATTAACATAAACATGTGTAGCATCTCCAGGCCTCCACGCTGCTTATGCGTGCCTTTGGAACGTCTACATTTTAAAAGTCTAATAAATCCATTCAATATACACCATCACAATAAATCCATTATTTATTTTAGGCAGGTCTAAAGAAACATGGTATGAAGAAAATGTATTTCAGAAGAACTGAATGAGTCGACCTGTACTGTATGCTATCTGGCTATGCGCCTTGCCAAAGGCTGTCGGCTAGTTCATTTAGCTGACAGGATATGCTTATAAGTCCTGTGCCATTATTTTATATTCTGATTTTATTGTAAGAATAAGATAATAGAAACTGAATAAAATAGAAATAATATTTTTCCTGTTTCTGAGTGAGTTCGTATATGAAGTGGCTAAGTGATCATTAGAAATAGGTCCTATACGCTAGATTTAGTTATTTGGCCAATTTAGTTGTGAATGATACAAATCTTAAAATGTCTTAGAAATCAAAACCTATATGGGTTGCATGATGCGACTATTGACTATTTGGAAAAAGTCTAATGAAAAGCTTGCGCTCTGTTGCTTGACCCAGGCTGTATTCTCTCATGAGGTAATCATATTTTCACTCATCAGACTATTTTCAATTTACTCTCATCTACTAATATGTGAAATTTGTTTCAATTTAGAATGGCCCATTATCAAAATGGTAGGGGCAGGGGGAAAAAGACGTCATCCGTATGCACTCCAATAGCGAATGGAGGCCGCTTTCCTGCAGTTTAAATCATGCTGGGTAGGCTACTCCGGTTTTAAAGTGGAGCAGCTGAGAAAGAGGCCTAAATAGCAGCTGGGATCCTCCTCTTTTTAGTGGCAACCATCAAAACTCTGCTTGTACACGTGATTGCATATAGAAATGTTTTGGCTTATAAGAACACTTATTTCCCTTCATGCATCAACCACTGTTTGAGGAGCATGCAGCCTCTCGCTGCTCGACAGGTGATATTCCGCCCAAACTCTGAACTTCAACCATGTACCTGCAGCTACCCAGTGCTTAATTTGGGAAACCAAGTGAAGTATTTTTGGGAACATTGATAGTAACATGTTTTCACAACAAAAACATATTTAATTAAACTGTTGACAACCCCTATCTCTGCGCGTTTGAGAAAGGAATGAAGAGAGGAAGAGATGGAAACTCACTGTGGTGAGATATTCTGTAGCTAAAGGTAATGTCAGCCTGTTCATTATTAAAATATAAAAAATGCCCTATTCCTAGGCTATTCAAAATCAAATACAAATTCACTGTAATTGTAGACTAACTCTGTAAGCCGCCCTACACAATTAATGAACCAACAGCATTGCCTAGGCCTATGCGTTCTCTCCCAGACTCATGCATAGAAAGTTTGGAGCATAGCATAGGGTAACCAGTCCATCCAGTATGCATAATAATACAGTCACACTCAAAGGTGATTATAATGTTTTATTTTAGAGTATAGGCTAGACATATGCGGTATAACGGCACAATCATTATTTCAATTCCGTTTTGTTTTTTTAAGGCTTGAGCTCATATATAGGTATGTGTATGCGTAAGCTCTAATATGCGTATGGATGTTCTACATGCAACGTCTTAAATGCTTTGAATTAATCATCACCTTAGAAAGCGCTGTCCATTAGTGTTGTTTTGGCTTTGAAACAACATCCACAACAACCATGTTTTCTACTGAATTTCAACCTATTGTTGAACTTCTTTCTTGAAATGTATCAACACAGTTAGGTAAAAAAAAAAAAAATTTGCGTAATGGTGAGTTTTTTAAATGTTTGTGATATTCAATTTAATTTGCATTGATGTCAGAGGGGTTAGAGGGACAATAGAGCACTGAGTACCGGGCCATTAGCGACCTGATGATCGTTAGTGAGTTGGGTACTACCAACGCATGTCCAGAGTGCATACTAGGAGTTTACCGTGACTCCAACGGTCATGTGGAATTTGACAGCGGTCATAACTCATGACTGCCAGTGTGGCGGTAATACGGCCACCGCAACAGCCCTACTTGACAGTTCATTATGCTATTTGAGTGCTTTTGTATTTAATGATGTTCTGTCCTGTGTTTCCCTTAGATCCTGATGCACACCAAAGACATGGTTCAGAAGGTGAGTGCTGTTGTACTCTAAACCTAACTGATCAATGGAATACCGCCACCAGTAGTCACCACATGGCCATGTTGGAAAGAACAATGTAACAATATCCTTACTGATGACCAAGAGCTAGGTGCGCACGAAATGTCACCCTATTTTCTATATAGTGCACTTCTTTTAACCAGGGCCAAGTAGTGCACTAAATAGGGAATAGCGTACCATTTCGAACCCAGTCCTACTTTAGAACCCAGTCCTCACCTCTGACCCCTGACTTCCTGTGTGTGTCAGATGAACCTGGAAGTGATCTACGGTGACACAGACTCCATCATGATCAACACCAACAGCTCCAGTCTGGAGGAGGTCTACAAACTAGGAAACAAGGTAAGGAAAGGGAGGCGGGAGGGAAGGAGAAATAGAGGGGTCTAGAGCAAGAGACTCCATCGTAATCAAACTCCAAGAGTTAGATTGTCTGGGTGGGTGGGTTGATGGTGAGATAAAGGCATGGAAAGTGGAATAGAGAGAAAACACAAGGCCAGATGGATAAAGAGATATTGATATTGCCTGTGTCTTCCCCCAGGTGAAAGCTGAGGTGAACAAGCTCTACAAGCTCCTGGAGATTGACATCGACGGGGTGTTCAAGTCTCTGCTGCTGCTGAAGAAGAAGAAGTACGCCGCCCTGGTGGTGGAGCCGCAGGGGGACGGCCGCTACAGTACCAAGCAGGAACTCAAGGGGCTGGACATCGTAAGAAGGGACTGGTGTGACCTCGCCAAGGAGTGTGGCAAGTAGGTGGACTCGTCAACTGGAGTACGCTATATACTGTATTTCCACTCATCCCCTTTTTCCTCTTGGATTATGCCAAGAGGTCTCAACCATTTTGGCACAGGAGGTTGTGTGTTTGCTGTAGCTGCAGGGTTGCTGGTTCAGACCTTGCTCTGGCTGCTTCCCCTCAGTCATTGCAATGTTAATCAATGACCTGATTCTTAAAGATGCTAACCTTCCTCCTCCTACCCATCTTCCTCCTCCACCTCTTTCTCAGCTATGTGATTGGTCAGATCCTGTCGGACCAGAACCGTGATGTCATCGTGGAGAACATCCAGCGTCACCTTTTGGAGTTGGGAGAGAAGGTTGCTAACGGAACCATCCCACTCAACCAGTATGAGATACACAAGGTGTGTGTGTGTTTTTTCAACGTTCTTTGTGTTGGTATGTGTGTCTACAGTGTGAGTTTGTATCAATGCCCACTCTCCCCTTGCTCTCTCTCTCTCCCTATTTTTATCTCCCTCGTCTCCCCTCCCGTTTCCCAGGCCCTGACTAAGGACCCCCAGGACTACCCAGACAAGAAGTCTCTTCCTCACGTTCACGTGGCTCTCTGGATCAACTCTCAGAGCGGACGAAGGGTTAAAGCTGGAGACACAGTTTCCTACATCATCTGCCAGGTAGGGATGGGGGAGTGTGTGTGTATGGGACGGCAAGTGTATTATGAGTTTACAGGTGTCTTTTTGGAGAGGGACTTTGAGTTAGTAGTCAGTGTATCTGTGGATATGGATGAAAGTGTGTCAGTGTCGTATAACAGAAGTGTTTTGACCCTCTCTCCTCTCCCCCAGGATGGCTCTACGTTGGCAGCCAGTCAGAGGGCCTATGCGTTGGAGCAGCTCCAGAAGCAGGCCGGGCTGAGCCTGGACACCCAGTACTACCTTGCCCAGCAGGTGCACCCCGTGGTGGGCAGGATCTGTGAGCCCATCGAAGGCATCGACGGGGTCCTCATCGCTACATGGCTGGGTGGGTCTCAGTTCTCAGCACTGTTTCACTGTTATTAGAGTAGTTATGAATTGTAGATGCTTTCCTGGCCTGGGGCCTGAAGTTTTCACTGGTAAAGTCACATGGTCTGGAAAAAATCCTGGCCTTAGAGATGAGAGCTAATAGATATTTAGTTCTTAACAGAAACCAGTGTCGTTGGTCTTCACATTCTGTCTGTAGATGGCGCTGTGTGTGTTGCTGTAGGGGGGGAGTGGGGAGGAGGGGGCGTTCTGTGGCCTAGTCCTCAACACTGATTTACTAACACATTATTCACTTAGTCACGGAAGGTGTGTGTTTTTGTGTGTGTGTGTGTCAGTGTTTGGGTTCACCTGGGAATACTAAATGGGTGTTCAGCTGCTCAGCTTCTAATGATATGATTATCTCAGCTGCTTTCACACACACAGTGATTTGATTGTTTTGGCATCCTTACAAAAATATGATATTTCCGGTTTATTTTTATCACACCTCCCTCACTATCTGAGCTCTGTCTGTCCTTCCTCTCTACCGCCTCAGTCTGTGTCTTCCTCTCTAACTTTTCCACTACAGTCTCCACCATTCCATATGTTAAGGTGTCTGTCCCCAGAGTGGGTGAAAATGCGCTTTGGTGATGAAATTTCACTTCCTTATGTTATAAAATACATTTTACCAAGATAAATATGATTATTAATGTTCTGAGTCGTTCAGTAGGGTTTTTCTCTAACAACAGTATATCAAAAAAGTTGGATTTCGTAACCTAATACATCCGATAAGCACCGAGCTCTGTTTACAGCCGTGCAACTTTCTCGCAGCAACTTTGAGGTTTTTACATATTGTGGTGGTCATCTTCAAAGTTATTTCTGCGGTTCGGAAAAAGCTAAATTGGCATGACACAAGCAGAATTAAATGTAAATTAATTGCCCTTATCACTCTATTGAGGCAAAAAAAACGGACTTTCAATATAAATGTGGGCCTCTGTAGCTCAGCTGGTAGAGCACGGCGCTTGTAACGCCAAGGTAGTGGGTTCGATCCCCGGGACCACCCATACACAAAAAAATGTATGCACGCATGACTGTAAGTCGCTTTGGATAAAAGCGTCTGCTAAATGGCATATTATTATTATTATAAAATGCAGATGAAATAGCCACTCCACAGTAAAAGGCACATGACAGCCTGCTTGAAGTTTGCCAAAAGGCACCTGAAGGACTCTCAGGCCATGAGAAACAAGATTGACCCTTTTGGCCTGAATGCCAAGTATCATGTCTGGAGGAAACCTGGCACTATCCCTACGGTGAAGCATGGTGGTGGCAGCATCATGCAGTGGGGATGTTTTTCAGCTGCAGGGACTAGGAGACTAGTCAGGATCGAGGGAAAGATGAATGGAGCAAAGTACAGAGAGATCCTTGATGAAAACCTGCTCCAGAGCGCTCAGGACATCCGACTGGGGCAAAGGTTCACCTTCCAACAGGACAACGACCCGAAGCACATAGCCAAGACAACGCAGGAGTGGCTTTGGGACAAGTCTCTGAATGTCCATGAGTGGCCCAGCCAGAGCCCGGACTTGAACCCGATCTAACATCTCTGGAGAGACCTGACAATAGCTGTGCAGCGACACTCCCCATCCAACCTGACAGAGCTTGAGAGGATCTGCAGAGAAGGGGAGAAACTCCCCAAATACAGGTGTGCCAAGCTTGTAGCGTCATACCCAAGAACACTCGAGGCTGTAATCACTGCCAAAGGTGCTTCGACAAAGTACTAAGTAAAGGGTCTGAATACTTATGTAAATGTGATATTTCAGTTTTTTATTTCTAATACATTTGCAAAAATTTATTAAAACCTGTTTTTGCTCTGTCGTTATGGGGTATTGTGTAGATTGATGAGGGGGGGGGGGGGACAATTTAATCAATTTTAGAATTAGGCTGTAACGTAACAAAATGTGGAAAAAGTCAAGGAGTCTGAATACTTTCCAAATGCACTATATGTCAACTTCACCCTTGTGAATTGCCACTTGACACACATTCACACAAAGTAGTCTTAATTGTTTCTGTCTCAGACTGGTTTTGTGTGTCTGTTCTGTAGCAGTGTGTTTAAACTGGCGCAAATAGTGTCTGTGTAGATATTGTGATTGTTTGTGTGTTCCCCAGGTCTGGACCCCAGTCAGTTCCGGGCCCAGCAGCAGGCACAGAGAGAGGAGGAGGGAGATGGGTTCCTAGGAGCTCCGGTCCAACTCACTGATGAGGAGAAATATAAAGACTGTGAACGCTTCACATTCACCTGCCCTCTCTGTAACACTGATAACGTCTACGACAACGTGTTTGAGGGAGCGGTACGTACACGCGCGTGCGCATACACACACACACACACACACACACACACACACACACACACACACACACACACACACACACACACACAAGCATGCAGACACACACACACACACACACGTTTGGTACTTCCTGTGTTAAGTATGCTATAGTCTTTCAGTGTTGTACCTCATCTCTTATTTTTAGACAGGACAGACTCATACACAGTCTGTTTTCATTGGCATAGTTTACACTCCTGCACTTAAAGGCTTTCCTAAACCCCTACACATACATACTCTCACTCTTTATCTCTCTATCTCTCTTTGTGTCTTTCTCTCTGTTTCTCTCTTTCTGTCTTGTGCTTTCTCTCTCTCTCACTCACTCGCTCACTCTCTCAATTCAATTTCAATTTAAGGGCTTTATTGGCATGGGAAATGTATGTTAACATTGCCAAAGCAAGTGAAGTAGATAGTAAACAATGAAATAGTGAAATGAACAATAAATATTAACAGTAAACATTACACTCAGAAGTTCCAAAAGAATAAAGACATTTCAAATGTCATTATGTATATATACAGTGTTGTAACAATGTGCAAATAGTTAAAGTACAAATGGGAAAATAAATAAACATAAATATGGGTTGTATTTACAATGGTGTTTGTTCTTCACTGGTTGCCCTTTTCTTGCAACAGGTCACAAATCTTGCTGCTGTGATGGAACACTGGTTTTTCACCCAGTAGATAAGGGAGTTTATCAAAATTGGGTTTGTTTTCGAATTCTTTGTGGATCTGTGTAATCTGAGGGAAATATGTCTCTCTAATATGGTCATACATTTGGCAGGAGGTTAGGAAGTGCAGCTCAGTTTCCACCTCATTTTGTGGGAAGAGTGCACATAGCCTGTCTTCTCTTGAGAGACAGGTCTGCCTTTCTCAATAGCAAGGCTATGCTCACTGAGTCTGTACATAGTCAAAGCTTTCCTCCCTCACACACCACACTCCTACCCCCCTACTACAGCCATTCCTACAACCGAGGTCACTGGAGAAGTGAGATGTGTGTTTTCTTATCAGTCAGTAATGAGTTAGACAGACGCAGCTTTCTCTTGTCGCAGAGAAACTCATGAAGCTGACACTTTCCCCTCTGTTTGTCCTCCCATGGTTCTGACATCACACACACTGATAAGATGGTAAGTTAATTAGTGGTGACATGGTCTAACAAATCAGACGGGCCTTGACTTGAGATACAGGGGGAGTGAAGGAAAGAGGCCAGGGAGATTGAAAGGGGGTGGCAAGAGATTGCAAGAGAGGAGAACAGCGTGAGGGAATGGGAAAGACAGACTGGGGAGAGGAAGAGAACATCAAATAGAGCGAGGTAGACTGCTGTTATCAAAACCAGAGAAGAGAAGAAACAGCGAGGGAGGGAAAGGAGGAAAATCAATTGATGTTCTTTAGTCATCTCGTGAGGATGAGAACCCAACTTCAAACTTTTGCTGTGTGGGTACGTCCGGCTGTCCAACTCCCCATCCACCACTGCTGTAAAAGCAGGTAAATGTGAAACCCTGTAGGAATACCATTACTCCTGTGTGGATATGTATGTACAGTAAGGGGGAAAAAAGTATTTGATCCCCTGCTGATTTTGTACGTTTGCCCACTGACAAAGACATGATCAGTCTATAATTTTAATGGTAGGTTTAATTGAACAGTGAGAGACAGAATAACAACAAAAAAATCCAGAGAAACGCATGTCAAAAATGTTATAAATTGATTTCATTTTAATGAGGGAAATAAGTATTTGACCCCTCTGCAAAACATGACTTAGTACTTGGTGGCAAAACCCTTGTTGGCAATCACAGAGGTCAGACATTTCTTGTAGTTGGCCACCAGGTTTGCACACATCTCAGGAGGGATTTTGTTCTACTCCTCTTTGCAGATGTTCTCCAAGTCATTAAGGTTTCGAGGCTGACGTTTGGCAACTCGAACCTTCAGCTCCCTCCACAGATTTTCTATGGGATTAAGGTCTGGAGATTGGCTAGGCCACTCCAGGACCTTAATGTGCTTCTTCTTGAGCCACTCCTTTGTTGCCTTGGCCGTGTGTTTTGGGTCATTGTCATGCTGGAATACCCATCCACGACCCATTTTCAATGCCCTGGCTGAGGGAAGGAGGTTCTCACACAAGATTTGACGGTACATGGCCCTGTCCATCGTCCCTTTGATGCGGTGAAGTTGTCCTGTCACCCCCAAAGCATAATGTTTCCACCTCCATGTTTGACGTGAGGATTGTGTTCTTGGGGTCATAGGCAGCATTCCTCCTCCTCCAAACACGGCGAGTTGAGTTGATGCCAAAGAGCTCGATTTTGGTCTCATCTGACCACAACACTTTCACCCAGATCTCCTCTGAATCAGTCAGATGTTCAATGGCAAACTTCAGACGGCCCTGTATATGTGCTTTCTTAAGCAGGGGGATCTTGCGGGCGCTGCAGGATTTCAGTCCTTCACGGCGTAGTGTGTTACCAATTGTTTTCTTGGTGACTATGGTCCCAGCTGCCTTGAGATCATTGACAAGATCCTCCCGTGTAGTTCTGGTCTGATTCCTCACCATGCTCATGATCATTGCAACTCCACGAGGTGAGATCTTGCATGGAGCCCCAGGCCGAGGGAGATTGACAGTTCTTTTGTGTTTCTTCCATTTGCGAATAATCGCACCAACTCTTCTCACCAAGCTGCTTGGCGATGGTCTTGTAGCCCATTCCAGCCTTGTGTAGGTCTACAATCTTGTCCCTGACATCCTTGGAGAGCTCTTTGGTCTTGGCCATGGTGGAGAGTTTGGAATCGGATTGATTGCTTCTGTGGACAGGTGTCTTTTATACAGGTAACAAGCTGAGATTAGGAGCACTCCCTTTAAGAGTGTGCTCCTAATCTCAGCTCGTTACCTATATAAAAGACACCTGGGAGCCAGAAATCTTTCTGATTGAGAGTGGGTCAAATACTTATTTCCCTCATTTAAAATGCAAATCAATTTATAACATTTCTGACATGCGTTTTCTGGATTTTGTTGTTGTTATTCTGTCTCTCACTGTTCAAATAAACCGATCATTAAAATTATAGACTGATCATTTATTTGTCAGTGGGCAAATGTACAAAATCAGCAGGGGATCAAATACTTTTTTCCCTCACTGTACCACTGTGTAGAAATGTGTGTACCAGTGCAGTAAATGCATAGCCCTGTTGAGACACTCCCCAGTCCTGTCACTGACTGATGGATAAATTTTTTTAGGCCTTGGCAGTTAGGAAGTAGTTAGCTACTAGTTGTGGAATTTCCATTGTGTTAGCAGTCCAGTTAGGTGCCTATGAAAGCCTGGTCTGACAGGTGAATGAGGGGGTGATTGACTGGAGCTTGGGGATCTGCAGGCTGAGGAGATTGGCTGGGGGTCTGCAGGCTGGGGGTCTGTCTGATCTGCCTATATGTGGCGCAGCATGATTCCTACAGTCCAGAGTTCTCCACTGCTAAACCTGGAGAGCAGGCTTTTGTTGGTTGTGTGTGTATGTGTGTACTCTGTGCTGACAAAGTCCCATCCTGTTTGTGTGTAGGGTATGATGGTGGAGGCGGCGATGATGCGTTGCTGCAACCTGTCCTGTGGGGGGCGTCCTCTGGACTATCCCACACACATCAGCAACAAGCTGCTACTGGACATCCGCAAGCACATCAGGAAATACTACAGCGTGAGTACCGACGAGGGTGTGTGTGTGTGTGTGTGTGTGTGTGTGTGTGTGTGGTTTATTGCAGGCAGTTTTGTCCTGCTCAGATTTACTGTTACTATTTATTCCTACTCTCTACTGAATGCCAAACACTGGCCTTTCCCTCTGCTACACACACACACCACTCGCCCACCTGCATTACTGCAAATTGACTTAATTTAGTTTTCTTTCAGGCTTTAATGCTTTCCTTGAATACACTACACTGTACTCACTGTAGTAGTCAGGCTCTGACTGGAGCATATTTTTGGAGGTCTTTAGTTGGAGAAATAGTGTGGAGGATTTTAGAACTGTTCCGGAACTCTTTTAGAACTTTTTGTTTTGTAAAACTTGTATGATTTCTAGAACTAGCACTGATGCTGTCTTCAGGGTTGTGGAATGCAGTGGAAGATTGGAGTGGGGCTGCCTGCTAGTCTTTTAGGTTGAGCATTGTGTGGAGGTAGGGGAGGGGGTGTTACACTCCCACAGTGCTGAGCAGAAATCAATTAGTGGGGCGAATGTGCCTACCACCCCCCACCCCCCAAACACACACACACACACACACTCTCTCAGGGAACGAGCCCCTCACCCCCTTTGTAATGTGTGAAACAGCTGCTGTCACGGAATACTAACACCACACATACTCTGTAGGAACACACGTATATACACACACAGAGGGGGCGATGAAGAGTGGTAATTAAGGATTTATTTCAGACCAAGGGAGAGCTCAAATAGAGCTGTTTGTCTGGCCAGATAGACTGAAAGACATGGCCTGCACCTCTGCGCGTGTGTTCCTTCAGAGACATTACCCCCCCCCCCCCCCCCTCATTATCAACTGACCTGCTCTGCTAGACTGGCCAAACACCCATCCCTCTCTCTTCTGCCCTCTCTCTCTCCATCTATCTTCATCCTCCTCCCATCTATCTTCCTCTCTCTCCATCTATCTCCTCTTTTCCCCCGGGGGGGGCCCAAAACCCCCCCCCCCCGGTCCTTTGGGGGGTTTTTTGGTTTTTGTTGGGGCCCCCCGGGGGGGTTTTTTTTTTTTGGGGGGGGGGGGGGGGGGGCCCCCCTTTTTCCCCCCCCTTCCCCACAACCCCCCAAAAAAAAAAACCCCCCCCCCGGGGGGGGGGTTTTTTTTTTTGGGGGGGGGGGGGTTTTTTTTTTTTTTTTGGGTTTTTTTTTTTTTTCCCCCCAAAAAGGGCCCCCCCCCCCCCCCCCCCCCCCCTTTTTTTAAAACCAAAAAGGCCCCCCTTTAAAAAAAATTTAATTTTCCCCCTTTTTTGGGGGTTTTTTTTCCCCCTTTTTTTGGGGGGGTTTTTGGGGGGGTTTTTGGGGGTTTTTTTTGGGGGGGGTTTTTTTTTTTTTTTTTTTTTTTTTTTTTTTGGGAAAAAAGGTTTTGGGGTTTGGGGGGGGGTTTGGGTTTGGGTGCCCAAATTTTTGGGGGGCCTGGGGGTTTTTTTGGGGGGGGGGGGGGGGAAAAAAGGGGGGGAAAAAAACCCCCCCCCCCCCCAAAAACCCCCCCCCCCCCCCAAAAAAAAACCCCCCCCCTTTTTTTTTCCCCCCTTTTTTTTGGGAAACCAACCCCCCAAAAAAACCCCCAAAAAAAAAAAATTAAAAAAAAGGGGGTTTTTTAAAAAAAATTTTTTGGGGGGGGGAAAAAGGGGGGCCCAAACCCCCCCCTTTCCCCCCCCCCCCCCCCCTTTAAACAAACCCCCCTCCCCCCCTTTAATTTCCAACCCCCCCCCCCCCTTTTTCCCCCCCCTTTTTTTTTCCTTGGTTTTCCCCCCCCCCTTTTTTTTTTTTCCCCCCCCCCCCCCCCCCCTTCCCCCTTTTTTTCCCCCCCCCCCCCCCCCCCCCCCCCCCCCCCCCAACCCCCCCCCCCCTTTTCCCCCCCCCCCCGGGTTTTTCCCCCCCCGGAAAAACCCCCCTTTTTTAAAAAAACCCCCCCCCCAACCCCCCCCCCCCCCCCCCCCACTAACCCCCTCCCCCCAAACCCCCCCCCCCCCCCCCCTTTTTTTTTCCCCCCCCCCCCCCCCTTTTTAAAAAACACGGCCCCCTTTTGGGGCCCCCCCCCGGGGGGCCCCCCCCGGGGGGGACCCCCCGGGGGGGGGGGCCCCCCCCCGGGGGCCCCCCCCCCCCCCCCTTTTCCCCCCCCCCCCCCGGGGGGCCCCCCCCCCCCCCCCCCCCCCGGGGGGGGCCCCCCCCCCAGGGCCCCCCCCCCCCAAAACCCCCCCCCCCACCAACCCCGGGGGCCCCCCCCCCCCCCCCCCCCCCCCTTCCCCCCCCCCCCCCCCTTTTTTTCCCCCCCCCCCCCCCCCCCCCCATTAACCCCCCCCCCCCCCCCCCCGGGCCCCCCCCGGGGGGGGGGGGGGCCCCCCCCCCGGGGCCGGGGGGGGGGCCCCCGGGGGGGCCCCCCCCGGGGGGGCGGCCCCGCCCCGGGGGGGGCCCCCCCCGGGGGGGCCCCCCCCCCCCCGCCCCCGGGGGGGGCCCCCCCCCGCGCCCCCTTTCCCGGGGGAACCCCCCGGCGGCCCCCCCGGGGGCCCCCCCCCCCAACCGGGGCCCCCCGCCCCCCCCCCCCCCCCCCCCCCCTTTTTTTGGGAGCCCGGCCCCCGGGGGCCCCCGGGGGGGGGGGGGGGGCCGCGCGCCCCGGGGGGGGGGGCCCGCGCCCCCCGGGGGGGGGGGGGGGGCCCCCCCCGGGGGGGGGGGGGGCCCCCGGGGGGGGGGCCCCCCCCCCGCCCCCCCCCGGCCCCCCCGGGGGGGGGGAGCCCCCCCCCCCCCCCCCTTTTTTTTCCCCCCTCCCCCCCCCGGGGGGGCCCCCCCCCCCCCCCCCCCCCCCCTTTTTTTCCCCCCCCCCCCCCCCCCCCCCCCCCCCCCCCCCCCCCGGGGGAACCAACCCCCCCCCCCCAAACCCCCCCCCCCCCTCCCCCGGGGCCCCCCCCTTTTTAAACCCCCCCCCCCCAAAAACCCCCCCCCCCCCCCCCCCCCCCCCCCCCCCCCCCCCCCCCGGGGGGGGCCCCCCCCCCCCCCTCCCCCCCCCCCCACCCCCCCCCCCCCCCCCCCCCCCGGGGGGGGCCCCCCCCCCCCCCCCCCCCCCTTTTCCCCCCCCCCCCTTTGGGGGCCCCCTTTTTCCCCGGGGCCCCCCCCCCCCCAACCCCCCCCCCCCCCCCCCGGCCCCCCCCCGGGGGCCCCCCCCTTTTTCCCCCCCCCCCAAACCCCCCCCCCCCCCCCCTTTCCCCCCCAAACGGGGGCCCCCCCCCCCAAAAAACCCCCTTTTTCCCCCCCCAAAAAAACCCCCCCCTTTTACACTTCCCCCCGGGGGGCCCCCCGGGGGGGGGGGGGCCCCCCCCCCGGGGGGGGGGGGGGCCCCCCCCCGCGGGGCCCGGGGGCCCCCGGGGGGGGGGCCCCCCCCCCCCCACAAACCCCCCCCCCCCCCCCCCCCCCCCCCCCCCCCCCCCAAACCCCCCCCCCCCCCCCACACGGGCGGCCCCGGGGCCCCCCCCCGGGGGGGCCCCCCCCCCCCCCCCCCCCAACCCCCCGGGGGGGCCCCCCCCCGGGGGCCCCCCGGGGGGCCCCCCCCCCCCCCCCCCCTTTTTTCCCCCCCCCCCCCCCCCCCAAAAACCCCCCCCCCCCCCTCCCGCCCCCCCCCCCCCCCCCCAACCCCCCCCCACCCCTTTTTCCCCCCCCCACCCGAAAACCCCCCCCCCCCCCCCCCCCCCCCCCCCCCCCCTTTTCCCCCCCCCCCCCCTTTTCCCCCCCCTTTTTTTTTTTTTTTTTTCCCCCTTTTTTTTTTTTTCCCTTTTTTTCCCCCTTTTTTCCCCCCGGGCCCTTCCCTTTTCCCCCCCCCTTTTTTAAAACCCCCCTTTTTTTTTCCCTTTTTTTTTCCCCCCCCCCCCCCAAAACCCCTTTTTCCCCCCCCCATTTTTAAAAAAAAAAATTTTTTTTTTCCCTTTTTTTTTTTTCCCCCCAAAATTTTTTTTTAAAAAATTTCCCCCCGTTTTTTCCCCAAAGGAAATTTGGGCCCCTTTTTTTAAAATTTTTTAAAAAAATTTTTAAAAAAATTTTAAAAAGGGGGGGGGAAAAAAACCCCCCCCCTTTTTTTTTTTTTTTAAAAAAACAAACCCCCAGGTTTTTTCCCTTTTGGGCCCCCCCCTTTTAAAAAAATTTCCGGGAAAAGGGCCCCCGGCCTTCCCCCAAAAATTTTTAAATTTTAAAAGGGCCCCAAAAAAGGGGCCCCCGGGGGCCCTTTTTTTTTTAATTTTTTTTTTTTGGGGGGGGTTTTTTTTGGGGGTTTTTTTTTTTTTTAAGGGGTTTTTTTGGGGTTTTTTCCGGGGGGGGGGGAAAAAAAATTTTTTTTTTGAAAAAACCCCGGGAAAAAATTTTTTTTTTGGGGGAAAAAAGGGTTTTTTTTTTTTTTTTAAAAATTTTTTTTTTTTTTAATTTTTTTTTTTTTATTTTTGGGGGGTTTTTTTTTTTTTGTTTAGTAGGGAAATTTTTTAAAAAAACCCCCCAAAAATTTTTTTTTTTTTAAAAAGGGGAAACCTTTTTTTTTAAAAAAAGGGGAAGGGGTTTTTGGGGGTTTTAAAAAATTTTTTTTTTGGGGAAAAAAATTTTTTAATTTTCCCCGGTTTTTTTTTTTTTCCCAAAAAATTTTTTTTTTAGGTTTTTTTGGCGTTTGGTTTTTTGTTTTTTTTTCCCCCCCACCCCCAAAAAAGGGGGGTTTTTTTAAATAAAATTTTTAAAAATTATTTTTTAAAAAAGAAATTTTTTTTTTTGGGGGGGCCCCCCCCCTTTTGTTTTTTCCTTTTTGGGGGGGCCGGGGGGGTTTTTTTTTTTGGGGGGCCCCCTTTTTTGGGGGGGTTTTTTTGGGGTTCCCGGGGGCCCTTTTTTTTTTCCAAATTTTTTTTTTTTTCCCCCGGGGGGGAAAAACCCCTAAAAAGGGGGGGGGTTTTTTTTTGGGTTTCCCAAAAATTTGGGGGGGAAAAAAAGGGGGGAAAAAAAAAGGGGGGGGGGGGGGGGAAAAAAAACCCCCCGGGGGGGGAAAAAAAGGGGAGGGGGGGCCCCCCTTTTTTAAAAAAAAATTTTTTTCCCCCCTTTTTTTTTTTTTCCCCCCCCCCCCCCCCCCCCCCTTTTTTTTTTTTTTCCCCCCCCTCCCTCTCTTTAAAACTTTCCCCTCTCTCCCCCCTTTTTCCCCATCTTCCCTTTTTTTTTTTCCCCAAAAATTTCCCCCCCCCTTTTTCCCCCTTTTTCCCCCCCCCCTTTTTTTTTTAAAAAATTTTTTTTTTGGGTCTCCCTTTCCTCTCTATTTCCTCCTCTCTCATCTCATCTATCTTCCTCTCTCTCTCTCAATTAAATTCAATTCAATTCAATTCGCTTTATTGGCATGACGTAACAATGTACATATTGCCAAAGCTTACTTTGGATATTTACAATATAAAAATAAATAAAAATGAGAATCAAAAAATTGTCAACGGGACAACAGTAACAACAATAACCAACGTCAATATAACCATACATTCAACAATAACAATAATCATACAGTTGAGGACATGTGCAGGTTTATTGGTCTGTCAGACACTGTCCCTCAACTTATGGCAGGCAGCAATGTAGTGCGCTGCCAACCCACAGCTCTCTGCGTCCTCCCCCAACAGGATGGGTAGCCTATCCTCATCAGAGAGGTCTTTAAAAAACCTTGAATAAGGATTTCAAATTTGGGGAAATGACACTCTCTAATTGTTTTATATTTTTGACATTTTGTCAGGAAATGCAGCTCCGTCTCAGGTTCTGCTGTTGTGCAGTGGTTGCACAGCCTTTCCTCTACAGGGAGCCAGGTTTTCCTGTGTCTACCCTTCTCAATGGCAAGGCTGTGCTCACTGAGCCTGTACTTTGTCAAGGTTTTTCTAAGGTTTTGATCAGTAACCATGGTCAAATATTTAGCCATAGTGTACTGTCGATTTAGGGCCAGATAGCACTGCATTTTGCTTTGTGTTTGTGCTTGTGTTTCCCAATAAGCAATGTAGTTTTGTTTTGACTGTGTTGTAATTTGGTTTATTCTGATTGATTGGATGTTCTGGTCCTGAGGCTTCAGTGTGTTAGTAGAACAGGTTTGTGAACTCAGCCCCAGGACCAGCTGGATGAGGGGACTCTTTTCTTTGCTCAGCTCTTGGCATTGCAGGGCTTGGTAATGATATGAGAGGGGGTCACTGTATTTTAGGTGTTTCCAAAACTTAATTGCTCTTTTTTGAGTTTTTATTATTAGTGGATATTGGCCTAATTCTGCCCTGCATGCATTGTTTGTAGTTTTCCTCTGGACACGTAGGAGAATCTTACAGAACTCTGCATGTAGGGTTTCAATGGGGTGTTTGTCCCATTTGATGAAATCTTGTTTTGCAAGTGGACCCCACACCTCGCTGCCATAAAGTGCAATTGGTTCAATGACATATTCAATTAGTTTTAGCCAAATTTTAATAGGTATTTCAATTTGAATTTGCTTTTTAATGGCGTAGAATGCCCTGCGTGCTTTCTCTCTCAGTTCATTCACTGCCTCATTAAGGTGTCCAGTTGAGCTTATTTTTAAACCTAAGTAATTGTAGTGTGTACAGTACTCTATATATTTTGTACCAATTGAGAACTTTGGTCTAATTCCCTGAGATCTGGATCTTCTCTGGAAAATCATTATTTTAGTCTTTTTGGGGTTTACTGCCAGGGGCCCAGGTCTGGCAGTACTGCTCTAGCAGGTCCAAGGCTCTGCTGTAGGCCAGGTGCTGTGGGGTGACAGCAGGCATAGGTCATCTGCGAAGAGTAGGCATTTAACTTCTGAATTGTGGAGACTAACACCAGGGGCTGAGGATTTTTCTAGAATAGTGGCCAATTCGTTAATGTAAATATTGAAGAGTGCAGGGCTATCTTCCCCTCTCTCTCTCTCTCATCTATCTTCCTCTCTCTCTCATCTATCTTCCTCTCTCTCTCTCTCTCTCTCTCTCATCTATCTTCCTCTCTCTCTCTCATCTATCTTCATCTCTCCTCTCTCTCTCTCATCTATCTTCCTCTCTCTCTCTCTCTCTCATCTATCTTCTCTCTCTCTCTCTCTCTCTCTCTCATCTATCTTCCTCTCTCTCTCTCTCATCTATCTTCCTCTCTCTCTCTCCATCCATCTTCCTCTCTCTCTCCATCTGTCTTCCGAGTGTCGTTGGTTCGTTTTGTCGATCCGCCCCCCCCTCTTATTTACCCCATTCAAACACCCGTTGCCATGGCGTTTAACAAATTATTGCAATTACGCTCGTCATGTGGGTCACCCCTGGAAACTGGCTGAGGGAGGTAGGGAATAAATAGAGAAGAAGGTGCTAATCCTATTTTGAACAAAAGGTCAAATTGCTGAATGGAGCCGCTTTGATTAAGCGGAGGATGTACAAAGTGGACTTGTTTCAGCTCTATTCAGAGAGTGAGAGGTGAGTGTGTGTGCGTGTTTGTCTGGGTGCGTGTCCCTGCCTGTGTGGTTGCATGCTTTGTCTACAAAAGTGGACTGGTTTCAGGCCTATTCAACTCTAGAGCTGGCAGGATTGATTACTTTTCAAGCTAGAACCTCTGTCTCTTCTCTCTCTCTAGTCCTTTTATCCTGAGAACCACCAGTCAAAATAGTGTGTATGTGCGCGTACCTGGTTGATTCCTGTGTGTTGAGTTCCACTGGTCTGAGATCACTGTGTGAAACAGAAACCCTCCACAATTCAACTATCTGCTTCATAGTCACAGACCCTGGATGTAGGGAGAAAAGGAGGTAGAGAGTTGGACAGAGGAAGAAAGAAAGGGGAGTGTGTTAGAAAAGAGAACAGAGGAGAGGGTGAAAGGAGAACAGAAAGGAGGAGAGAGGACTAGGGATGGAGAGGCAGGGAGTGTAGGCTAGTTTTTGTGTCTTGTCTCACTGCAGTTTAATCTGTTTAGTTAAATGGTGTGGAAGTCATCTGAAGTCTGGATTCAGTGTGTCAGGTAGCGACTGCTGTAATTATGTCATTATCAGCCCCCCCCATCTCCCTCTCGCTCTCTCTCTGGCTTAATGTTTTTCTCTCTGTTTTTCTCTTGCTCAGTTTCACTCAAAGACCCACATGACTTTATCAGTTAATATGCCCTTTCTCGTGTGTGTGTGTTCGCAAATCTCCAGCCCATGGGAACAGTGCTGTGTGTTTAGGCTTGTGTCCTCAGGAGACTCTGGGATCAGACAGTCAGGCAATAACATCCCTAATGAACACACACACAGCGTCCTGCCAATCTCCTCTAAATGAAAACCAAACACACACATATGTCCCAATTCAATTACAATCTCCCAGAGTTCACAGCGTTACCCACAACCCCCTGGGCCAAAGCCGGTTATCTAAACATTGCCAACTGCCACACATACAGACACGAGGATCATGGGACATTACACCGCTCTGTTGGCTCTGATAATATTCACCACAATGCTGTGTGTGTGGTTAGAGCCAGGTTAATGAGATTGATAACAGTACAATAGACCCTTCAGTTTCTGTCTACTGTATGATTTGAATTGAGACAGGGAAAAAGAGACCTCCATATTTCCTCCTTTTCCCTGTGGCCTAGTATATCTGGGAGTGTGGCTGACCCTTAGAGCGCTCGACTGGGTCGTTGTGTGTGGTTTGGTATGTGAGGTGGTAGGACAGGTGCAGTATGTAGTAAGGGGTTGGGGATGTCTTGGGAACTGTTATTAGTTGGGTAATACCCCCAACACACACACACACACCAAAGCCCCCCCTATGTAATGAAAGGGCAGGCCAGGGAGAGATAGGGTATTAGATTAGGGATGAAGAGGAGGGGAACAGAGGGGGGTAGGGTCTGCACCTGTCCAAGGCCACTGACTCACCCCAGGGGTCCTAACCACCTGCTGCCCTCTGCGCTGCTTGTCTGAAAAGGGAAGGACCCCCAGGCTCAGGCAGATGTGCCTACTTCACACAGAGGGGTTGACTTAGAAAATTAGAGAATATACAATTTAGAGAGGAGGCAGAGAGAAATAGGGAGAACGTTTATCTATGTGTGTTTTGGCAGGTAATTATGTAATTGTTTTCAGCAGTTTCCAGCAAGTTAGCCTCATTTTAAAAGTGTCCTTGATATGAATACGCCATCTCTCAATACCCTCCCCCCCCATCTCTCTCTCTGCATCTCAGGGTTGGTTGGTGTGTGAGGACCAAGCCTGCCAGAACCGGACCAGGAGGCTGCCCATCTCCTTCTCCAGATCTGGACCCATCTGTCCTGCCTGCTCCCGCTCTGCACTCAGACCAGAGGTAACACACACACTAACACACCGCACACATGAACACACCACACACACATAATCCACACGCACAAACACACTGGACGCATACACACCCACACGCTCGCTGTATCGATGTTGGATGGTTTGTCCAGGTGATGGTGCTGTAGAGTCATTTTAAAAGCTACTGAGCTCTCATCCTCTTCTCTCATCCTCTTCTCTTCTCTCATCCTCGTCTCGTCTCATCCTTGTCTCATCCTCTTCTCGTCTCTCATCATCCTCTCCACCATTCACATGGTCTAAATTATCTCTTCTCACTCCCATCTCACATTCCCTTGTTTTTGCGCTCTTCTTTTTTATTTAACTCCCCTCCATATTTCTCCTCTTTCACTCTCCCACCCTGTCCTTGCCTCAACTGTTGTGTTCATACTTTAATGAGATTCTTACACAGGCCTTCCCAACACACACACACTTGTAATTAATGTTGAAGTACAACATGCACACAGACTGATAAGGGTATCCTCTGTTCTCTACACAGGACTCTTACGGCCTTGAGTGTGTGCACTTGTGTGTGTGTGTCTGTAGGAGGGTCACTGGTAGTTTAAAACTGTCTCTCCTTTATGAAGACCAAGTTAGCCTGAAGGGTAGATTTTTTTTCCTTTCTTTCTGTGTTTCTTTGCCTTCACTTGATCTGACGTTTCTTTCCCTCTCATTTTATCCCTAACGTTTCAATTTATTTTTCTCCTGTAGTTCTCTCCCTTTCTCCGCTCTTTTTCACTCCCTCTCCACTTTCTGCCTCCTTTAAGAGAGCTCCTCGAAAAGAGACAAGGGGGGAAGATGTCTCTTCCCAAAAAGGAGGCAAAAAACAAAATCCCCCTCTCTCTCCCCTCTCCTCCCCCTCCTCTCCCCCTCTCTCTCCCCCTCTTCTCTCTCCCCTCTCTCTCTCTCCTTCTTCTCCCCCCTCTTGTCTCTCTCCTCTCTCTCACACCTCATCCTCGATCTCCCCCCACCATCCTCTCTCTCCCCCCTCATCCTCTCTCCCTCTATCTCTCTCTAGCAGTGTCTAGGTTTGTGTGGCGACAGGTTGAAACCCAAAAGGCCAATTTGTCTTGTCACCACGGCCACTTAGGCGTCCTTCTCTGTGCCTGAGGGCCCTGCCACTTTAAACTGCTGGCTGAATAAAACATTTAACTCACCCCTCTGCCCTTAACCCACCTCTTCTCTCCTCCGCTCCCTCATCCCTCCTGTTCTCCCCTGCTCCCGCCATTCCTCCTTCAGCCTTCCTCCCTTTCGCTCCTCACCCACTCACTCACACCTCTCTGTTCTCTCCATCTCTTTCTTCCCGCTTGTACTTTCATACCTCACTTGTCTCGTTCTCTATCTCATTATCCGTCATCCCCTCTTTCTCCCCTTTGCCTCCACCACTCTTCTCCTTTATCATCTTATCCCTCTATTCTCTTCTTACTCTTCATTCCACAGCCTCGTTCCTGTCTCTGTCAGTGATGTGTTTTCTGCTTGCTCTCTCTCTCCCTCCCTCCTGCTACCTCCCCCTCTCTCTCTCCTCATTTTCCCTCCCTTGCTCCCCCCCTTATCTGTCTCTCTCTCGCCCTACGCTCTCCCTCACTCTCTCTGATCTCCATGTAATAGAGGAGTAATAGCCACTCTTGTTGATTGGTTGGTAATTTGAGGGAGTTATGCACAGGTGCAATTTGTAATATTTTCAGTAAATTAAATTTCTCTCTTTCTCTCTCCCTCTTTAACAATCTCCCCCTCCCTCGCTTTCGTTTTTTATCTGATGCGCTGTTTCACTCTCCCTTTCTCTCTCATTTTCTGTTTCTCTACCCTTTTTTCCCCTTCGTTTTCTGTTTAGCAATGCGCTCAGTCCCCTCCCACTCTTTTTCTCTCTCCCTGTCCCTCCCTCCTTCCTCCCTCTTTCTCCCTCCCTCCCTCTTTCTCCCTTCCTCTCTCACTCACTCCCTACCTCTTTCTCCCTCCCTATCTTTCTCCCTATATATCTCTCTCTCCCTCCTTACATCCCTCCCTCTCTCTTTCTCCCTCCGTTTTATTGATGTATGTTCAGGCGCCCATTAAAGCTCTTTTTTCCTCTAGTGGAAATTGCAGCATGTTAATTTTCACACAAATTACGGCAATAGCAGGTATCTCTATTTGATACATTATTGCTGGAGCAATCAGAGATAATTGAGTGCCTTTCAGAGGGAGACGGCTGCATTCACTCCCGGCTCAAAGCCGCCCCATTATCGCCTAATCGCTCTTTAAACACTGAAATTCACCGAACAAAAATTCTTGTCATAATTTCGCTTAAGTGTATTTGGAAATCACAGGGCCTTTGAGCGAGGATAATTGAAATCAAATCCCTTTCACTGAAGCTGACATTTCTACATTTCCCCCCAATTGAAATTAATTTCAAAAATTGAGCATGAATATCTTCAAATAGCAGGCAATTATGCCTTGTGAATGGGGAGAAATTACCCATTGGTGCAGGGCTGCGCTAGTGAGCGGGAGCGCCAGTTAAATGTCTTTGTTTCCTGCAGTGTTTGGCTAGTAAAGATTTACATATATTGACTCATTATGGAGGCTTGTGAAGCCGATCGCTAGGACTCAACCCAACGCTACAACATCTGAGTTAAACCCTATCAAATATCACAACACACAGCTACACAGGGATTTCTCTCTCTTCTGTCTCTCGCAGCTGCAGTGGTGTGTGTGTGTGTGTTGTAAGGGGTCAACTGGATCTGTAGGTTAACAGTGTCTAGGGGGAATATACACTGAGTGTACAAAACATTAAGAACACGTTCCTAATATTGAGTTGCACCTCCACCCCACCTTTTGCCCTCAGAACAGCCTCAATTTGTTGGGGCATGGACTCTTGATACACATGGGAAACCGTTGAGCATGCAAAACCCAGCAGCGTTGCAGTTCTTGATGCTAGCCGGTGCGCCTCGCACCCACTACCATCTACCAGTCTCTGAATGGCACACAAACACAATCCATGTCTCAATTATCTCAAGGCTTAAAAATCCTTCTTTAACCTGACACTAACTGAAGTGGATTTAACAAGTGGTATCAATAAGGGATCATAGCTTTCACCTGGTCAGTCTATGTCATGGAAAGAGTTTGTACACTCAGTATATGGCATGGAACCTTTAGATGTAGCTCCAGTGTTTATGGATTAGTACTAGTGATGGCTGACTGTGCAGTATTTACTGTATGAATCTCATACTGAGAAGGAGACTGTCACAGTCACACTTATTTAGTCATGTAGTTATCCATGTAGTCATTGACCTCTTAGTACCTGTCTGAATAGAATACTAATTGTTGTTGTTCTTTTTTTTGGGGGGGGGTGGGATTTTAGTATGTTCAGTCGATTGTGTGCGCTTTTGTGGCCCATTTTAGACTGTTGGCTGTGGTTTAGCGATTTAGACCCATTTGTATGCTCTCTTTTTCTTTCATCCTCTTTCACTCTCCACTCCCTCTCTCTTTGCTCCCCCCCCCCCCCTTCTCTCTCCCTCTCACCTTGTTTCTATCTCCCTCTCACCCCATACTTTACAGGTTCACTTGTATGAGAAAGGGAAGTGCACCTACTCTATGTGTGTGTGTGTGTCTGTGTGTGCAAATTGAGTGAGGGGGGTAGTTAGCAAGGTTGTGGGGGGGGGGGGGGGGGGGGGGGGGTGTTCGCTCCCAAGAGAGGCAATTTCACAGCTGGTTTGCTCTTTGGGCAGCCAGGCTGAAAATGCAGCAGACTTGTGGTGCAAACTGAAATGGTGTCAGTACAAGAACAAAGCACTGAGCCGAATGACGAGGCGTTTGTGGTTGTGTGTGCTCTAAATTCAATAACGACCTGTAACACCTTTAGCCACGCCTCTTCGACACCTGTCAGTCAAGTCCAGTGCGACTTTGTGTTTATGGCTAGGTTGTGTGAGAGAGGAAGTGTGTGTGCTCAGCTCTGCATTGGCAACGGTAACCAAGGGTCCATTATGGGATTCATTGTTGGTTGTTGACCAGGCAGTGCATCGTGGGTCAACTGCTGTGTGTCTCGCATGGCCATAGACGACCATTATATATATATATATATATATATATATATATAAAATATAAATATAAATATAAATGCACACATACACACACACACACTTGTCAAACGCTATACACACTCATTCATAGACATTGAAGACACAATCCATATGCAGACACAGGCATTACGGATGCTAACACTGTCATACACGCATCATAATAATAACATACTACATACCCTTGATGCCAGTTGTTGGGTGTCCTGTAGTTGAATGTAACAGTCAGTGTAATTAGCGTTGTGATAATGGCTTCATGCAGTATAATGACTAATCACATTGACAGCGTCTGTTGTTCAGCTGCCTCTTCTCTCTCTCTCAAAGATCTTATCACAACAAACTATTATCAACCAGGTGATTTGCACATTATCTTATTGCTCTTTCTCTCTCTACCTCTTTCTCTCTTTTTACTTCCCTCTCCTCTCTCCCTCTTTACTACCCTCCTTTCCCTCTCTACCTCCCTCCCTCTCTCACCCACTACCTCATTATCTCTCTCTCTCTCTCTCGCTCTCAGGCGTGTGACCAGAGTTAATTGTTGCTGAAATTAACAAACCAAACACATTTGTCTACTGCTTTATTGGTCATGCTCCCTGAGAGGAGGCTGGCGAGATGGAAATAGATGAGAGGGGAGAGATGGAAATAGGATGATCAGGGATGTGAGAGCATGGTCTGAGATGAGGGGAGGAAAGAGTTGGAGGAGGAGACTGTATATTTTATGACAGCTCATTAAATACAGGTAACTGCCGAAATAATATGAAATGCAAACATTTAGTGTCTTAATAGGATGTTGGGCCACCACGAGTCAGAACAGAATCAATGCACCTTGGCATAAATTCTACAAGTGTCTGGAACTCTATTGGAGGGATGTGACACCCTTGTTCCACGAGAAATTCCATCATTTGGTGTTTTGTTGATGGTGGTGGAAAACGCTTTTCTCAGGCGCCGCTCCAGAATCTCCCATAAGTGTTCAATTGGGTTGAGATCTGGTGACTGAGATGGCTGTGGCATATGGTTGACATCGTTTTCATGCTCATCAAACCATTCAGTGACCACTCGTGCCCTGTGGATGGGGGGTATTGTCATCCTATGGGGGCATAGCCATGGTAGCCAAAATAATGGGCTGCCCAGCATTTTTATACATGACCCTAAGCATGATGGGATGTTAATAACTTAATTAACTCAGGAACCACACCTGTATGGAAGCACCTGCTTTCAAAACAATTCATATCCCTCATTTACTTGTTTCCATTATTTTGGCAGTTACCTGTATATTATCAGAGCACCTTGGGTTTTAGTGACACTGGGGTTGGATTAAAGGGCTTGGAACAGTCTTTTTTCTCATTTGACGAACTACAAGTTTGACTGCTACAGTACCTGTTGAAGAGTGTGTAATAATGTGTGTGTTCTCTCCACAGTACTCTGAGAAAGCCCTGTACACCCAGCTGTGCTACTACAGGTTCATCTTCGACTGGGAGTACGCTGTCACCAAAATACTACAGAGCGACGAGAGAGGTAAAACTGCACACACACACACACACTAGCATTCAATTGACACCCACTTACTGTACATACATCTTACATAGGCCTATGTATTAAGACACACATACAGTTTGTCGTAACTGTCACACTCACGTGTAGACACTAGTGATGCGCGGGTTCACTCATAACCAACACTTCCCGCGGTTATATCCGCCTGGCTGGCTGGTTTAGGGGCATTAAGTATTTTGTGGATGACGGGCGGGTTGAATAGAGCAAACAATGCATAAAAAATCCATATATAATTATTATCTATAGGCTACATTGTTTTTTTTATTGTTATTTTATATTAGTGCGTAGCCTAAGCCTACCCTTTAGGGCCTAACTGTACGCTCGCCAAATACACACCAATTGCCAAATGCTTTGGGAATTTGAGCAGAAAAGGTTAACTTTGATCCACTAATGCAAAAAAATACTATCAGAGTTTAATTCAATAAGAGAAAAGCTGCAAAATGGACAGTTGAAAATAAATAGAAGGGAGGAACAGTAGCCTAATGTTTCGGAAAGATTTGGTGAAGTGGTAAAAGAGGATAATAGCAGTGCCGGCTATGTGAAATGTGATGGTTGTGAGGCGCTATACAAATTTAATAGTCACATGACGGGGACTTCAAAATTGCATGTCAAGGGAACTGTAGGCTTCTGTTCAGATGGTTAAATGGAACAGTAGCCTGAAATCTGGACACTGACTGTAGGTCTATAACCTCTCACATAGCCTAAAATAATATGAACTCCTGCAGAATGATTTCTTTCTTTCAGCATCTTGAGAGAATTAATGCGAGGTTAGGGACTGTCTGTAAAGGTGCTATCTTTATCAGCATCATAAAATATGCATCCAAGTCAAACTGAAATCAGAAACATGTTAGGTAGTTTTCACAGCTTTTAATTTCCTTAAAACCGGTCAAACTGTCATTTGGAAATTTTGCACAGATAATCTTTTTTGTTGTTGCATTTTCTCCCCGGTCCCTAGACGTCTTTGCTGCACGAGTGAAGCAGCAGAAAAAAATTACTTTACCGATGTCAACTAGATTGAAGCATTCATTCTATCGATTTGACATTATTCTGGTGAGCAAGGGTTTATTTAGTATTCTAAGGCAACAAGTAATGACCGAAGAAAAGCTACATGTATCTAATTATAGACAAGTTGACTGACAAATAGCCTACCAAAATCTCGGAAATTATAAGCAGAAACATAGGCCTATCTAAAAGGTCTGTCAAAAAATTGGTCCGCCTCACTGACTGTACAGCACATTTTCTATATTTGCGGGTTAGGTTCGGATGCGGGCCTCAGATTTTAACTATCACATAGTCATGCGGTTGCGGGTGGGTTATTAGCAATTGCGGGCGGGGGTGGATGAACAAACAGCTGACCAACGCATCACTAGTAGACACACACCCAGGCGTTGGTGGATGGGCGTGGGCTATGAGGGGGTTGGGTTAAGGACGCTCAGCTCCTCAAGTCGACAGCCCTAATTTCATAGACGGATTCAATCTCTCTCTCTCACACACACACACACACACAGAGAGAGAGAGAGAATCTCACACAATCATACACACACCGAATGCAAAACGGTCCAATCACAGAGGGAAAGAGCTCTCCATCTCTCTCTCTCTCTTTCCTGCTCTCCTTCCTTTTCTCCGACAGCCACTCTGTTGCCAGTGTTGATTGAAAACAGGTTTTAGATTTGGGGAAATGATAGGGGGAGTAATAGGCAAGCGGATGAAAGGATAGCCCTTCTGCCTTAATAGGACATGGAGCGTATATTTCCACCCGGACCCATTTAGCCGCGACGCACCGCGCTCTGGGCTCGCTCAGTAGGCCCCTTACCCACAGTCCTCTGATTGATGTCACTTGATTAGAAAGGGTCGCTCTGCGAATAGATTTATTTATTTGATTAAATATTTATGTATGTATGTGTAAGGACGTGTGTGTGTGTGGATGCATGTGTGTAAGCGAGGGCCGGAGAGAGGGAGAGAAAGAGCGAGGCAGCGGAGGTAAATATAAGTTGTAATCAATAGATGACCACTCTGGAGACGGATAGCGCAGGAATGGCTGGATAGGGATGGAGGAGAGGTGGCGGCGGTGAGGAGGGATAACATGATTATAGCCTCTTTCTTTTGTGTTTTTCCCCCTCTTTCTTTGATGTGAGAAATCAACGCCAATCCTTTATTTCCCGCCCCTTTTCTGCCTTGCTTTCTTTACTTGCTTTTTATTATTTCCTTCTTTTGCTTCTGGCCTTGTCAGGTTCTTTGTTTGGTCAACTGTAGAAAGAACCGTTTCACCCTTTTCACTCGTGGGAATTGGCCTATATGGATAGGGCTAAAATGAAATGTTTTTTACAGAAGAAATATGGAAAGCATATGCATAACCATGTTAGCAATTAAAAGGAAACAGTTTGGATATAATGGGGAAATTATTAGATTAAAGGTGAGTACACAACAGTTCACCTGAATCCAAACATTACACTGTTGATTTTATGAGCATTTTACATTTACTGTACTTTCGCTGCATTTGTTAACGAAATCTGAAAATACTCTTGATACATTCAGTAACATGATAAGAATATGGGGAAGGTGTAACATAAGACAACAAAAATGACAAGGTTTTGAGTGAGAGGACTAACTGGTGTCTCCAAGTGGCCACACACCTCTCCAAAGTGTGCACAGGTCCTAAGTAATTTCAATGCACTTTTATGACTCAAAGAAGAGTCTTCATCTATTAGCTCTCCTAGCTGTGCCTTTGAGGAACTAGATCAAGCACACTTGTAGTTGTTTTGTTTGGAACACAGCACTGCATCCCCGCCATCACACAATTACTGTTTGCGCAATCCAAAAATGGCCCATTTGAAAGCTTGTTCTATTGCCAACATGACTAGTTAAATTATAAGATACGATGTTAGTGTTAGGCTTTCACAAGGCAATTCAGAGAAGCAGATCGTAATTTTGGTGCGCATAGAAAGAAGTCATGAGTGCATTCAGATGTGCGTCCGTGGCAAACTTTCTTCACAATACAACAAACAGGCTCATTCTGTTCAGGACAACCCAGGGTATAACGCCATGTCATCTTGTAACTGTACATCAAACATAGTGATCATAAACATTGACACTATATTACATGAGTGTTATGATATGGAAATGTGAAGTGCACATTTGGACTCTCACGGGTATTTGGCTTGCTTGTATGACATCAAAGCGGTATTTATTATATAATCCTCAATGTCTCATCTTTCAAAATACATTGAGTCCTCATAATTTACAGCATTTCCCTCACTCAGACAACAAAAAAGTTGCAAAATATACCCAATTAGCAGGAGGGATGGGGGCGGCAACTTGTCGTGCGCGGTGCTCAAGTTCAGAACGTCTGTCAGTCAAAACCAATACAGCGCTGTGACGTGCAGAGCCTGAGCTCTGACGTCATGTATAGCATGTTACTGGACAGCCACTGCGTCACAGTTTAGGCACTTATCAGTGTGCAAATCTGCCATAAAGGGCTATACTTTTATTGTATAGTTTTCAACTACACACTATGTATATTTCATCTCCCAGGCTTAAACACACAAGACTGTATAGGACTACTCTCACTCGCCCTCACAACACACACACGTCCTGGATTCGCTCAGACTGGGATAACTCTAGGTGTGACTGGATTAGTGGACTGACTGGGCCGACACGCACACCCACACACACAGACCCGTGCAGCTGTAAAGTATATGTTGTGTGTGTTATCCCCTGGTCCCGGGGCAGTAATACCACATATTACTGTATTACACTCCCTGGGGAAGCTCTGCTAGGATTACAGGGCCAGACAACACAGTGGTCCTACACACTCCTTACCTGCTGGGGGGGGGGTGTTGGGTTACCAAACTTTTAACCTAGTTTAGTTTCCTTAACCTTTTGCTTTCACGGTTTCACTTTATTTGGATAGTCCGGCTAGTCCATCTATAGATGCTCTGCAGATGTTCATACTATCTGTTGATATGCAATTGCTTGCTAAATTTGTGGTTAGGGTTAGTAGATAGTTGAAAAGTAGGTAGTTGAAATGTTACTGATAGTCTGTAGAGCGTCTACAAATCATATCAAATTGTATTTGTCACATGCGCCGAATACAACCGGTGTAGACCTTACAGTGAAATACTTACTTACAAGCCCTTAACCAACAATGCAGTTTTTTAAGAAAAAAATCGATTACTAAAATCTAAAAATAACAAATAATTAAAGAGCAGCTGTAAAACAACAGTAGCAAGGCTATATACAGGGGGTACCGGTACTGAGTCAATGTGCGGAGGCACAGGTTAAATGACTAAAATGTAATATGTAAATGTAGGTAGAGTTAAAATGACTATGCACAGATAATAAACAGCAGCAGCGAAAAGGGGGAGGGGGGGGGGGGGGGGTGCAAATAGTCCGGGTAGCCATTTGATTAGCTGTTCAGTCTTATGGCTTGGGGGTAGAAGCTGTTAAGAAGCCTTTTGGACCTAGACTTGGCGCTCCGGTACCGCTTGCCGTGCGGTAGCAGAGGGAACAGTCTATGACTAGGGTGGCTGGAGTCTTTGACAATTTTTAGGGCCTTACTCTGACACCGCCTGGTATAGAGGTCCTGGATGGCAGGAAGCTTGGCCCCAGTGATGTACTGGGGCGTACGGACTACCCCCTGTAGTGCCTTGCGGTCAGAGGCCGAGCAGTTACCATACCAGGCAGTGATGCAACCAGTCAGGATGCTCTTGATGGTGCAGCTGTATAACTTCTTGAGGATCTGAGGACCCATGCCAAATCTTTTCAGTCTCCTGATGGGTAATAGGCTTTGTCGTGCCCTCTTCACGACTGTCTTGGTGTGTTTGGACCATGATAGTTTGTTGGTGATGTGGACACCAAGGAACTTGAAGCTCTCAACCTGTTCCACTACAGGCCCGTCGATGAGAATGGGGGCATGCTCAGTCCTCTTTTCTTTCATGTAATCGACAATCATCTCCTTTTGTCTTGATCACGTTCAGGGAGAGGTTGTTATCCTGGCACCACATGGCCAGGTCTCTGAACTCCTCCCTATAGGATGTCTCATCGTTGTTGGTGATCAGGCCTACCACTGTTGTGTCGTCGGCAAACTTAATGATGGTGTTGGAGTCATGCCTGGCCATGCAGTCATGGGTGAACAGGGAGTACAGGAGGGGACTGAGCACACACCCCTGAGGGGCCCCCGTGTTGAGGATCAGCGTAGCAGATTAGTTACCTACCCTTACCACCTGGGGGCGGCCCGTCCGGAAGTCCAGGATCCAGTTGCAGAGGGAGGTGTATAGTCCCAGGGTCCTTAGCTTTGTGATTAGTTTTGAGGGCACTATGGTGTTGAACGCTGAGCTGTAGTCAATGAATAGCATTCTCACGTAGGTGTTCCTTTTGTCCAGGTGGGAAAGGGCAGTGTGGAGTGCAATAGAGATTGCATAATCTGTGGATCTGTTGGGGCGGTATGCAAATTGGAGTTGGTCTAGGGTTTCTGGCACTTCATGGCTACAGACGTGAGTGCTACAGGTCGGTAGTCATTTAGGCAGGTTACGTTAGTGTTCTTGAGCACAGGGACTATGGTGGTCTGCTTGAAACATGTTGGTATTACAGACTCAGTCAGGGACATGTTGAAAATGTCAGTGAAGACACTTGCCAGTTGGTCAGCGCATGCTCGGAGTACAAGTCCTGGTAATCCGTCTGGCCCTGCGGCCTTGTGAATGTTGATCTGTTTATAAGTCTTACTCACATCGGCTACGGAGAGCGTGATCAAATTGTCGTCCGGAACAGCTGATGCTCTCATGCATGCTTCAGTGTTGCTTGCCTCGAAGCGAGCATAAAAGTAATGCAGCTCGTCTGGTAGGCTCGTGTCACTGGGCAGCTCGCGGCTGTGCTTCCCTTTGTGGTCTGTAATAGTTTGCAAGCCCTGCCACATCCGACGACCGTCGGAGCCGATGTAGTACGATTCAATTTTAGTCCTGTATTGACGCTTTGCCTGTTTGATGGTTCGTTAGAAGGCATAGCGGGATTTCTTATAAGCGTCCGGGTTGGAGTCCCGCTCCTTGAAAGCGGCAGCTCTACCCTTTAGCTCAGTGCGGATATTGCCTGTAATCCATGGCTTCTGGTTGGGGTATGTACGTACGGTCACTGTGGGGACGACGTCATCGATGCACTAATTGATGAAGGCACTCCTCAATGCCATCAGAAGAATCCCAGAACATATTCAAGTCTGTGCTAGCATAACAGTCCTGTAGTTTAGCATCGGCATCATCTGACCACTTTATTGACCGAGTCACTGGTGCTTCCTGCTTTAGTTTTTGCTTGTAAGCAGGAATCAGTAGGATAGAGTTATGGTCAGATTTGCCAAATGGAGGACGAGGGAGAGCTTTGTACGCGTCTCTGTGTGGAGTAAAGGTGGTCTATAGGACTGATGGTAGAGGCAGATTACCCACTCTCTGTCGGATCCTTACAAGGCACCCTGACCTACGTCCCCGATATCTTTGTCTCTTTCTCATGCGAATGACAGGGATTTGGGCCTTGTCTGGTGTCTGAAGAAAATCCTTTGCATCCGACTCGTTAAAGATAAAATCTTCATCCAGTACGAAGTGAGTCATCGCTGTCCTGATATCCAGAAGATCTTTTCGGTCATAAGAGATGGTGGCAGAAACATAATGTACAAAATAAGTTTCAAATAACCCGAAAAAACACACACAAAAGCACAATTGGTTAGGAGCCCGTAAAACGGCAGCCATCTCCTCTGGCGCCAAAATGGACATTTACATTTACGTCATTTAGCAGACGCTCTTATCCAGAGCGACTTACAAATAGGTGCATTCACCTTACAGCCAACTATCCATATAGCATTCACTAATATTTCTTAAATCTTTACCTTAATAGGCCTATATGACTTGTGTTTGCTGCAGGGACTACTTTTCTGTTATCGGAGAGGAGACAGAGAAGGTGTCTGTCTGTCTGATCTACATTATTGTGCCCGATTGCTGTGACTGAGTTAAACATGGAAGTAATTTCCTCCCCAGCAGGAGATCTCTAATAGAATACACAGACACATGCACACACCTAGCTGCCAGCAGTGTTCCCCCATGATAAAACAATCTCATTCTTGGCAATAATTAAATGATTTCCACAGCATTTTGTGGCACGCTTCAGCTTTCTCTCCTCCCTCCTTCACTCCCTCTCTCTGTTCTCCTCTCTGTCTCGCTCGCTCTCTGTCTGTTGTGTAGAGAATATGATTGTGTGTGTGAACCATAATTTAATTTCTCTGCATTGATCAGATATAAATTGTCCTCTCCTGATGCCTCAATCACACACAGCTCCTCTGCCCCTCTTCACAGCACTACACCTTTACCCCCTCCTTTCACTCACTTTTTCTCCCTCTCTCCCCCTCTGCTTTTCCTCCCTCCTCTCTCTCCTGCTCCCCTCTCCTCTTGTATCCTCCCTATCTCCTCTCTCTCCTGCCCCCCTCTCCTCTTGTATCCTCCCTCTCTCCTCTCTCCCTCCGCCTCCCTCCGTCTTCTCTCTTCTGCTCGCTCTCCCTCTTCTCCCTTCTCCCTCCCTCCCTACCAGTCCATATAAGGACGGTAAGTCTGTGGGTGCGATTGTCAAATCAATTATTCCTTCTGTGCAATTACCTTCACACAAAGACGTTTCCCCGTGCTAACCGTGCTCCACCATGCTCCGACAGGTGATTTAAATGTACTGCTGTCCCAGTTGGCCGCTACGCTAGCTGCTAACAGCCATCTGCTAATAGAATATTCATGTTAGCATTAGCAAACGGTATGGCCCGGCTCCATTATTTTTCATCACGTTAGTGTTGGCGCCAGGATCGTTTTGGCCCATCTCCATTAACTTCATCATGCACACTTAATTATACCCTTGTTATTGTATACCTAGTTAGAGCGGCGCGCCGCACAGCCCTGTTACACTGCAGACAGGCCCGGCAGTGTGTCTGTGTGGTGTCTCCCTCTCTGTCATGCCTTTTTCTCTCTAGTCTTTTCTCCCTTTCTCCTGACTGTTCCTTCCTTTTCTTTCATTCTGTTTCTCCTTTTGTTTGTCTGTCTTCCTCTCCTCATTCCTCCCTTTCTCTCCTTCCTATCTTTTTTATTTTATTTTTCTCCTTCCCACTCTTTTAAAGGGAGGCCATTTATTTGAACTGCAACCCCTACTGAGAACTGGGCTCGATCTTTCTCTACTGCCCTCTCCCTCTTTCTCTCCCTCCCTCCCTCTTTCTCACTCTGACTCTTAAATCATTCTTTTATCCATTCCACACACAGTGATTGAGGGGGAAAAGAGAAAGAATGAAGAAATGCAGGAGGAGGACGAGAGAAAAAAATATTTTCTCCTACCTTTCAGAAATGATGACATGATTGCGTTCGCTTGATCATACATAATCTTCTTTCTTCTCCCCCCCCTCTCTATTCCTCAGATAAATAGTCCCCCCTCCTCTCCCCTCTACCATTCTGCTTTAACTTTCTCACCCTCTCTCTCCCCCTTTCTTCATTTTTTCCTCCCTCCTGTTCTCTCCCTTTCTCCTTCCGCTGAGGTGAGGATTATCTAGTAATGGTTGCTTGTGGCGGCTGGGTCAGCCTCACCAACCTCTGTCGTGTGTGTAAGCGAGGAAGCGAGCGCATCATCCTTTTTCCATCTGTTCCCTTCTCGGTTCCTGAGCATGCCATCTTCTGTCATGTGTGTGTTCAACCTTTGTTCCCTCTGGGCAGCTTGTCCCTGTGTATTTATACAACACCCACTAATGCACCACACAGAGAAGAAAATGAGAGCGCGAAAGAAGGGATGACAGAGAGCGAGGAGGATGGATAATAGGAGTGTAGCAGAGAGGAGAGTGGAATCGGATAGAGGAATTAATACATGTGCATATTTAGAATATATACTATATATGTTTTGTATGAAAGGGGTAGAAAGAAAGGCTTTATTGGAGATTATAAACTGGGTTGTTCGAGCCCTGAATGCTGATTGGCTGAAAGCCGTGGTCTACCACGGGTATGACAAAACATTTATTTTTACTGTTCTAATTACGTTTGTAACCAGTTTATAATAGCAGTAAGGCACCTTGGAGGTTGGTGGTGTCGTGCATATGAACAGCCCTTAGCCGTGGTATATTGGCCATATACCAAACCCCCTCGGCCTTACTGCTTAATTATAAACCGGGTAGTTCGAGCCCTGAATGCTGATTGGCTGAAAGCCGTGGTATATCAGACCCTATTCCGGGGGGGGGGGGGGGGGGCTACTTTGAAGCAAAGCTGTCATCAAGGCAAAGGGTGGCTACTTTGAAGAATCTCAAATGAATACGTTCGCAAGCCACTGTGTATATATATATGAACCATAGACAATTAATGAACATGCACCTGTGGAACGGTCGTTAAGACACTAACAGCTTACAGATGGTAGGCAATTAAGGTCACAGTTATGAAAACTTAGGACACTAAAGAGGCCTTTCTACTGACTGTGAAAAACACCAAAAGAAAGATGCCCAGGGTCCCTACTCATCTGCGTGAACGTGCCTTAGGCATACTGCAAGGAGGCATGAGGACTGCAGATGCGGCCAGGGCAATAAATTGGACTGAGGGCTTGTAGGCCTGTTGTAAGGCAGGTCCTCACCAGACATCACCAGCAACAATGTCGCCTATGGGCACAAACCCACCATCGCTGGACCAGACAGGACTGGCAAAATGTGCTCTTCACTGGTTTTGTCTCACCAGGGGTGATGGTCAGACTCGCTTTTATCGTTGAAGGAATGAGCGTTACACCGAGGCCTGTACTCTGGAACGGGATCGATTTGGAGGTGGAGGGTCCGTCATGGTCTGGGGCGGTGTGTCACAGCATCATCGGACTGAGCTTGTTGTCATTGCAGGCAATCTCAACGCTGTGCGTTACAGGGAAGACATCCTCCTCCCTCATGTGGTACCCTTCCTGCAGGCTCATCCTGACATGACCCTCCAGCATGACAATGCCACCAGCCATACTGCTCGTTCTGTGCGTGATTTCCTGAAAGACAGGAATGTCAGTGTTCTGCCATGGCCAGCGAAGAGCCCGGATCTCAATCTCATTTGAGCACGTCTGGGACCTGTTGGATCGGAGGGTGTGGGCTAGGACCATTCCCCCCAGAAATGTCCGGGAACTTGCAGGTGCCTTGGTGGAAGAGTGGGTAACATCTCACAGCAAGAACTGGCAAATCTGGTGCAGTCCATGAGGAGGAGATGCACTGCAGTAATTATTGCAGCTGGTGGCTACACCAGATACTGACTCTTACTTTTGATTCCCCCCCCCCCCCCCCTTTGTTCAGGGACACATTATTACATTTCTGTTAGTCACATGTCTGTGGAACTTGTTCAGTTTCTCATTTGTTGAATCTTGTTATGTTCATACAAATATTTACACATGTTAAGTTTGCTGAAAATAAACTATTTTATATACTACCAGTCAAAAGTTTACACACACCTACTCATTCAAGGGTTTTTCTTTATTTTGACTATTTTGTTACATTGTAGAATAATAGTGAAGACATCAAAACTATGAAATAGCATTTATGGAATCATGTAGTAACCAAAAAATGTTAAACAAATCAAAATATATTTTATATTTGAGATTCTTCAAATAGCCACCCTTTGCCTTGATGACAGCTTTGCACACTCTTGGCTTAGTTTTGCCAGTTTGCGCTGTTCTGTGAAGAGAGTATTACACAGCGTTGTACGAGATCTTCAGTTTCTTGGCAATTTCTTGCATGGAATAGCCTTCATTTCTCAGAACAAGAATAGACTGACGAGTTTCAGAAGAAAGTTATTTGTTTCTTGCCATTTTGATTCTGTAATTGAACCCACAATTGCTGATGCTCCAGATACTCAACTAGTCTCAAGAAGGCCAGTTTTATTGCTTCTGTAATCAGCACAACAGTTTTCAGCTGTGCTAAGGGGTTTTCTAATGATCAATTAGCCTTTTAAAATGATAAACTTGGATTAGCAAACACACAACGTGCCATTGGAACACTGGACTGATGGTTGCTGATAATGGGCCTCTGTACGCCTATGTAGATATTCCATTAAAAATCAGCTACAATAGCCATTTACAACATTAACAATGTCTACACTGTATTTCTGATCAATTTGATGTTATTTTAATGGACAAAAAAATTGCATTTTTTTTTTTGAAAACAAGGTAATTTCTAAGTGACCCCAAACTTTTGAAAGGTAGTGTACACACACAGTGCATTCGGAAAGTATTCAGACCCCTTGACTTTTCCACATTTTGTTACATTACAGCCTTATTCTAAAATGGATTAAATAGTTTTTCCCCCCCTCATCAATCTACACACAATACCCCATAATGACAAGGCAAAAACAGGTTTGTAGAGATTTTTGCAGATGTATATAAAAATAATAATAATAATAATTACAAGTATTCAGACACTTTACTCTGTACTACTACTTTACTTTACGTTGTTGAAGTACCTTTGGCAGCGATTACAGCCTCGAGTCTTCTTGGGTATGACGCTACAAGCTTGGCACACCTGTATCTGGGGAGTTTCTCCCATTCTTCTCTGCAGATCCTCTCAAGCTCTGTCATTGTTGAATGGGGAGCGTTGCTGCACAGCTGTTTTCAGGTCTCTAGAGATGTTTGATCGGGTTCAAGTCCGTGCTCTGGCTGGGCCACTCAAGGGCATTCAGAGACGTGTCCCAAAGCCACTCCTGCGTTGTCTTGGCTGTGTGCTTAGGGTCGTTGTCCTGTTGGAAGGTGAACCTTCGCCACAGTCTGAGGTACTGAGCAGGTTTTCATCAAGGATCTCTCTGTACTTTGCTCCGTTCATATTTCCCTCGATTCTGACTAGTCTCACAGTCCTTGCCGCTGAAAAACATCCCCATAGCATGATGCTGCCACCACCATGCTTCACCGTAGGAATGGTGCCAGGTTTCCTCCAGACGTGATGCTTGGCATTCAGAATCTTGTTTCTCATGGTCTGAGTCCTTTAGGTCCCTTTTGGCAACCTCCAAGCGGGCTGTCATGTGCCTTTTACTGAGGAGTGGCTTCCGTCTGGCCACTCTACCATAAAGGCCTGATTGGTGGAGTGCTGCCGAGATGGTTGTCCTTCTGGAAGGTTCTCCCATTTCCACATAGGAACTCTGGAGCTCTGTCAAAGTGACCATCGGGTTGTTGGTCACCTCCCTGACCAAGAAGGCCCTTCTCCCCCGATTGCTCAGTTTGGCCGGGGGCTGCCAGCTCTAGGAAGAGTCTTGGCGGTTCTAAACTTCTTCCAATTAAGAATGATGGAGGCCACTGTGTTCTTGGGGACCTTCAATGCTGCAGAAATGTTTTGGTACCCTTCCCCAGATCTGTGCCTCGACACAATCCTGTCTCGGAGCTCTACGGACAGTTCCTTCGACCTCATGGCTTGGTTTTTGCTCTGACATGCACTGTCAACTGTGGGACCTTATATAGACAGGTGTGTGCCTTTCCAAATCATGTCCAATCAATTGAATTTACCACAGGTGGACTCCAATCAAGTGTAGAAACATCTCAAGGATGATCAATGGAAACAGGATGCACCTGGGCTCAATTTCTAGTCTAATAGCAAAGGGTCTGAATACTTATGTAAATAAGGTATTTCTGTTTTTTATGTTTAATACATTTGCAAAAATGTCTAAACCTGTCTTCAGTTTTGAATTGGGCATCCAATGTATGGGACATTGCAACTCAATAGATGCTAGTCAGCCTTTAAAGTAAACACTTTTAAGGTAGCGGGGACCCTAACCAGCGACCTATCGGCCACCGGCCCAAGCTCCCAACCACCAGGCCACCAACCCTCCAAGATCCCCCCCCCCCCCCCCCACACACACACACACACACACAATTCCCTGAGAGCTGTTCCTCAACCATCTGTTCCCCCCCCGAAAGAATATACATCATAATAAAATGCCTCTTCCTCCATTCCCCCCACCAAGCCTCCGTCTCCCAATGCACCAACGAAATGAAAAAAAAATTTGAAATACTAAGGAGAACAACAATGCAAAAAACAAAAGACATCAAGGACAACAAAAATCTAAACATCACGGCCAACTGTATACATTTGAGTGCATGTCTGGCACTATTGTTTGAATGAGAGCGTGTGTATATGCATGTGTACACGCATACAAGCACCTGCGCGGCATCAGTCTCAGGCAAACAGGCTTTGGATGTAACAACATTGTCATTCAAACTTAGTTTTTTTTTTACTTTTATCTTTGACGTCATTCTATCCCCCGCCCAGCAACTCCACTTCCACTTGTCTCCAGTTCCACATCCCCAACCCTCAGCTTCCCTCAGCCCATCCCACCTATCTCTGCTGGCCACCCTCTTCGGATTTCTAATCTTCAGATATCTTTCAACTATGCTGTGATGTTTAACATACAATTTGTATCTATCTAATCGAATAGAATCCACAGATTGCGAGTTGAAGATAAATACAGTGGGGAAAAAAAGTATTTGGTCAGCCACCAATTGTGCAAGTTCTCCCACTTAAAAAGATGAGAGAGGCCTGTAATTTTCATCATAGGTACACGTCAACTATGACAGACAAAATGAGGGGAAAAAAATCCAGAAAATCACATTGTAGGATTTTTTATGAATTTATTTCCAAATTATGGTGGAAAATAAGTATTTGGTCAATAACAAAAGTTTCTCAATACTTTGTTATATACCCTTTGTTGGCAATGACACAGGTCAAACGTTTTCTGTAAGTCTTCACAAGGTTTTCACACACTGTTGCTGGTATTTTGGCCCATTCCTCCATGCAGGTCTCCTCTAGAGCAGTGATGTTTTGGGGCTGTCGCTGGGCAACACGGACTTTCAACTCCCTCCAAAGATTTTCTATGGGGTTGAGATCTGGAGACTGGCTAGGCCACTCCAGGACCTTGAAATGCTTCTTACGAAGCCACTCCTTCGTTGCCCGGGCGGTGCGTTTGGGATCATTGTCATGCTGAAAGACCCAGCCACGTTTCATCTTCAATGCCCTTGCTGATGGAAGGAGGTTTTCACTCAAAATCTCACGATACATGGCCCCATTCATTCTTTCCTTTACACGGATCAGTCGTCCTGGTCCCTTTGCAGAAAAACAGCCCCAAAGCATGATATTTCCACCCCCATGCTTCACAGTAGGTATGGTGTTCTTTGGATGCAACTCAGCATTCTTTGTCCTCCAAACACGACGAGTTGAGTTTTTACCCAAAAGTTATATTTTGGTTTCATCTGACCATATGACATTCTCCCAATCCTCTTCTGGATCATCCAAATGCACTCTAGCAAACTTCAGACGGGCCTGGACATGTACTGGCTTAAGCAGGGGGACACGTCTGGCACTGCAGGATTTGAGTCCTTGGCGGCGTAGTGTGTTACTGATGATAGGCTTTGTTACTTTGGTCCCAGCTCTCTGCAGGTCATTCACTAGGTCCCCCCGTGTGGTTCTGGGATTTTTGCTCACCGTTCTTGTGATCATTTTGACCCCACGGGGTGAGATCTTGCGTGGAGCCCCAGATCGAGGGAGATTATCAGTGGTCTTGTATGTCTTCCATTTCCTAATAATTGCTCCCACAGTTGATTTCTTCAAACCAAGCTGCTTACCTATTGCAGATTCAGTCTTCCCAGCCTGGTGCAGGTCTACAATTTTGTTTCTGGTGTCCTTTGACAGCTCTTTGGTCTTGGCCATAGTGGAGTTTGGAGTGTGACTGTTTGAGGTTGTGGACAGGTGTCTTTTATACTGATAACAAGTTCAAACAGGTGTCATTAATACAGGTAACGAGTGGAGGACAGAGGAGCCTCTTAAAGAAGCAGTTACAGGTCTGTGAGAGCCAGAAATCTTGCTTGTTTGTAGGTGACCAAATACTTATTTTCCACCATAATTTGCAAATAAATTTATTAAAAATCCTATAATGTGATTTTCTGGATATTTTTTTCTCATTTTGTCTGTCATAGTTGACGTGTACCTATGATGAAAATTACAGGCCTCTCTCATCTTTTTAAGTGGGAGAACTTGCACAATTGGTGGCTGACTAAATACTTTTTTCCCCCACTGTACTTTTACTAAGAATATTAGTATATTAGTAATTGACTGACCAGGTCTCTCTAGATCTCCCAACAATGCTATTTCTAGGGTCAATTTCAGATTGCTATGCATTTTCAGCCATTCCTGAACCTGAGACCAGAAACAGGCTTCATGAGGGCAATACCATAACAAATGGTCTATTGATTCTGTATCCTCACAATAAAATCTGCAGAGCTGCGATGATTGTATGCCACCAAATATTCAACATTGTGTTGGTGGCAAGAATTCTATACAATAATTTTAGCTGAAAAGCACGTAGTCTTGAATCTTGCGTCGTTTTATATATCAACTCATACACCCTGTGCCATAGAATCGGTACATCAAAAATCTCTTCCCAGCTATTTTGCAATCTGTGTGGCACAGCTGTCAACATCCTGGTCCTTTCCTATTTATGCTATTTTTATTCCTCTGCCAGTTTTGATCCTTTTATATTGGGCAGACAGACCAGTTCCCTACCTCCTCCCGCTGCCACCTGTCTCCTCCATTTTTGGGGCAATCTTTTGATATATTGAATAAGCAAATTATTTCAGAAGACATCAAATGTATTTGGTTGCAATGTTATACATCAAGGGTGGTCAACCATCCTCCAGGAGAGCTAATACCCTTGTGCAGGCTTTTATTCCAGTCCCCCCTCAAACAAACCACATTTTAGAAATTAACTGCTCAACCGGACCTTGATAAACTGGCTCTGATGTGTTTGAGCAGGGCTTGATCAAAAGCCTGCACACCCAGTAGCTCTCCAGACTGAGGGTTGACCATATGTGTTTTATACAGTTGCCTAACAGGTATTCCACTTTGTCAGGGGTTAAGTGCCTTGCACAACGACAGCTAAGAGTGATATAAACACCAAATCTTGTATTTCTACCAGAGAGAATATTGTCATACAGTGCAATATTTGACACTGTTGTGCTTCTGAACGCTGTCTTAAAGACTGACCATGTTCTTCAATCATTTCTCTCTTCTCCCTTCCTCCTCTCCAGGGAGGGTTAAGAAATTATGGAAGGCAGAGATGGAGGTCTACAGGAAGTTAAAAGATGTTCCTGACCGCTCCCTCCTTGCCAGTGGTTACTCTGAGGTCAACCTCTCCAAACTCTTCCAAGCCTTCACTACCCTCAAGTAAATCCTGCCTCAACTCCTCCATCACAGTCCTCATTGATTTAATGACTTTACTGACAGCTAAGGAGTCCTATCAGCATTGAAGTTTGGGCAGTGAAGGCCCACCTCCTCTGGATTTGACTATCATTATGGATGTGACTTGGTTTACCTAAAATAAAATAAAATTCTCAGACAATATATTTCTCAGTGACTGTCAGCCCTGATGTTGGTATGGGTGTTAAGGCACAGAATGATTCTGGTAATGCTTGTACATGATGCTTGTGTGTTTGTTAAAGTTGCATTGACCCTTGGCTCTTGATGCCTTTTCTTTATATGCATTATCATTTTACTACATTTGAGTGAGATTAGGAGGATGGCGTGTATAGGGTCTTTGTATGAAATGAGGCCTTGATTTACATAATGATGTGTGTGAAAGATTACAGGCAGTCGGTGTGACCCTTGCTCTCATATCAGCACATCTCTCTCTTATCAACCCATTATGATTGGCTGCTGAGATGGGGCTAAATACCCTCTCTACTCCCCCCACACACTGTCAAACACACACTCTGTGACCTAGTCACACTTTTTTTAGGGAGGTGGTGGTGGGTGACAATCAGAGCTAAATGAGACACCAGAGGATGGCTGGCTGAGGGGGGCAGATGACTTCTCACCACTCTCACTCACACACACACACACACACATACTCTCTCACACATGCAATTAGCCAATGATACAAGCCCTGGCCAAAGAGTCTACTGGACTCCTGCCTCGAATGGACACTTGTTAGCATTACCCCCATTCATTGTGTGTGGGTGTGAGAGAGAGAGATGGACAGCGAGAGAGAGGATGGGTGGTGAAATAGATGGGGTGAGGGAGGGCAGGTGTTGTGTTCCCTCGTTCTTTAGTGTTCGTATTGAACAGGTGACGTCGCTGTCTAACCTTCCTCTGTTTAAGTGATGTCTTTGGAATGGCCTCCTTCACACTTTCCTTTTCTGTTGCTATGAAAATTGGCTTTTTAATGTGTGTAATTTTCCACTTTCTCGTTCTAAATGTTGTGTATTTTTGTAGAGATTCATAATCTTATATTTTGATACGGAAAGTGTTTTGTACAACATTTGATACTGAAGCTTAAATAAAAGTGAAATAACTAAATGAAAATCTCCTTGGTACTGTATGTTGATACATGTTTGTATGGACTGGCCTTTTCAATTAGCTGCTTGGTGGCTTAGAGATGTCTATAATTTGTGTGTGACAGTAGGAAGGTGTGTGTGTTCTAGCGTGTCTAAGGGCCTCTTAAGTTAGTATATTAGGGAATATCCGCTGTGTTCTCCATCCTTCACTAGTTGTGTATGTATAATGACAGACATATCATTTTTACTAGGTCTCATCATCATTGGCAGGGACCATTTCCATAAATGCCGCTTCAGAAATCACTTTACATGCCAGCCTCAGACTCTTAGAACAGACCTTAAGTAGGCTCAACACTTAAACCACCATTCCCTATTGTGTGTGTGTCTGCATATAGTGGCATTACATTTTTATATATACTGAAGAAAAATATCAACGCAACATGTAAAGTGTTGGTCCCATGTTTCATGAGCTGAAATAAAAGATCCCAGAATTTTTCCATATGAACAAAAAGCTAATTTCTCACAGATTTTTTGCAAAAATGTGTTTACATCCCTGTTAGTGAGCATTTCTCCTTAGCCAAGATAATCTATCTACTTTTACAAGATTAAATCATCAGTGGCGCGTGAGCCTGTTGTGGTTTGGCTTTTGTATTTGCATTCTATTCCTCGAGCTCTGGGGAAGGAAAAAGCATCATCGCATCATAACACCAGCAGCAGCCATGTGCAAGTCAGTCCATGGGCGAAGAACTGGGTTTTTCAATAAGGCTGTGATCCCCGAATCACCTCCCAAACAAGACTTCGCATTAATTCGACCTCGTCCTAAACTAATAAAGAGCGAACGAGTCGTTGTATTGTGTGCGTGATGTTAAGCTTTATTACTTGTCCTCTTTGACCAGAATGGCGGCGTTGAGCAAAGCGTCTGAAAAGGCCTTCTTTGATGAGGTAATTAGTGGCCTATTCTATCCCTATTATTCATAGCGCGGTGGAACGTGTAAGTACCAGGAAGGGTGTCAAAGGGAGAGCCGGTCCTATTGCAGTGTCCTGCTTATTCGGCCTGAAAGGGCGGCAATGAGACGATAAACCGCTTAATACAGCCAGCTAATTGGATGAGAGCGGAGGGGATTAAAGGGGTGAAGGAAAAAAGAACCAGAGTGCCAGAGGCCTACCTATTCACTCCTTTTATTCACCTCCATCTCCTCTCTCTCCCCAACTCCTCTCATCAGCCTGCGTCGCTAGTCCGAGGGGAGGCGAGATGGCCCCTCATCAAAACAGCTTTTAGAGCGCCGAACGGGAACGGGGTGAGGAGTGAACTGGGTGAGGAGTGATTGGGGCTATTCTGTTGGGAGAGAGGGGGTCCTGGAGAATCGGAAATCAGCGGTCAAATCAGTCTCGCGCAGACCAGGGATGTAAGCTATATGATGAAATGCAGAGCAATTTTAGACATCTCTAATAGGCAACCTTTATAAGAAGATTGTGGTCGTGTTGGCCATAGGTCCATATAGTCTCATTTTTACTCAAATAAATGTCCCCTATTTGAAAATGTTATTTTATTATATTCAGTCCCTATTCATAGATCTATCTTAAAAAGGAACTTTCATTATTCGATGTATAGACCTACATTATGGTCTTTTCAAAGTCGTTTGAATCCTAATCTACAGGCCATTGTCTGTCAAAGAATGTTCAATATTCTCTAATGTGCGCGCACCCAACAAATGAGAATTAATAGAACCATGAACAAGCGCCCCAGTGGCCACGACAACTCATTTCAATCTTCTCGTCTTTTTCTCGCTCTGGAAAGAAAGTTTAAGCCTCGAGCGCAGCGGGTCACCTGCCTCCTGCGAAGTCCCAGGCATTCCCCAGATATTAGGGGCAAATTGGTTTGCTGTTCATTAGTAATGTTCACAATAAGATCTCATATACAATCCTATACATAAAAACACGCTCTATTGGTCATTTTTTCCCATAGAATGAGAATTTGTAAAACACTCTCAGAGTTCACATAGAAGGGGAGGGTTTAGGTAGAAGAGAAAATTGGTTTCTTCGTTTTTTTGTGTCTTTATTTTGCGTAATAGTCATTTGAGCGCAGAGGGCGAGTGTGAAGTTGTCATGTGTGCATGGCATGTCAGACTGGCGCATAATGCAGGCTCGAAGTGGGTGCCAAGGGGGGTCTTTAGCACGCGGAATTTATGGAAATATTAAGTGTCAAATTAGGACCGATCCAGCTGGAGAAAGTTTAGTTTGCCACCCCCACCTTTCCCCCCCCCTCTCTCTCTCTCTCTCTCTCTTGGACACACACACACACCATTTCCATCTTTCATTGCGTTATCATTCCCATCCATCTGATCTGATGTCATTCTGTCTTGGATTAGCAGGTGTATAAAACAAGGCCGGTGAAAGAAAAGGGTTTCCACCAGAGCGAGACTATAAAAACGGACTAAATTAATCCGAAAGGTAATTTCACGCGGTTTGGTCCGAGACCATGGACGGGTCAAACGGGCGAGAATGACTTCGCTGAAAGGAAGCGCATTGATGGCGCGTAATAGAACCGCTTCTTAGGGAGTTGGGAGAATTAAGTCGTGGGTAGAGGGATGGATGAAAGCAGGGAGGGGAGAAGAGGGGGACTCGAGAGAAAGACGTTTTGATAAAGTGGTTTGTTACTTCATTAATGACAAAGGGACTCGCTTCCATCGACATGGCATTACCGATGTTAACACCAATTTAGCGCCTTTAAAAGTTTTTAAAGCGCGTTTTGTAAAGAGAGCCCGAATAAAGTGGGTTTTCTAATTGAAAACCCCTCGCCTTTGTCGCCCGTTTCACATGTGGGGATTTAGCTCATGAATGTAGAGGTCTGTATTTTGTCAACTCTGCTGGAGAGACCAGACGCACACAGCGGCCTAGAATTATATCTGTCATTACTGAACTAATCTATTTTCTCTTTCAGTTAGCCTATCCAAGGAGACCAGTCACCATAGTGCCTAAGAAAATAGGACTATACTCCCTTTCTCAGCTCCTCACACTCACAACTTAATTATTTTTCTTTCTGGTGAGCCTCTCCTTTTAAATTAATCTCGAAAACAATTTAGATCCGTTTTGGACCTAATTCCAAACGACTTTTCAAATGTTACATTAATGTTAAAGAATATTACCAGAATTCAAGTCCTGCAATTTAATAAGCAATTACTTATAATAAAGGTTATTTCGATATAGACCTATATTATATGAAATGCTATGATAGTGGGTCTGAATATTTCTCATAATAAAAGAAAATGTGATTAATGTAATTCCACGTTTAATCATCAAAACAACCTCATTAGAATAGGACTAACTCTTTATGCTATAATTGTACTATTCATTTTCAAACATAGAATGGATTCACAAAATAATTTGGTTTTGAGGCATTCGTTATAATATTATTCATAAATATGCAAGACAACATCATTTTATTCATAACAATTTTATTAATAGTTCTATAATTCTATTTAATTTTTTTTTGTTCCTGGGCATTTGTCAGTTCTATAAGGGATTGAAATAATAATCTAACTGATATTTCATTTCACCACTTTCATTTATTATTAAACAAGGAAATGTAGACAATCACTTTAACAATTAAAAACAAATCCTGCCCTGCACTCAATCTGTTGGGGAACAGTTTCGACATAAATAATAATCTAAAAACCTATGATATTCCATAAACACTGGGGAATTTTACACAGGGACACATTCATACTCATAAAACACTACACCAAGTGCAACTTCTCAAAACATGGTCTCTTTCAAATATACAAGGCTCTGTTTTGAAAATCATCCTTTTTTGTTTTGTTTTTCATTTTTACAATAATATTTACAGCAGTTTACTTTTCTTTCTCACACAGTTCAGACATAAGAGACACTGGATATAATCTAAACTTCACTTCATTTGTCCTTTAGTCAAACTCAATTAGCTGAAAATGTGTAGATTTTTTCCCCTTAACTCTTCCAGATGATAATGTAAGTATCAATCAAGACAAAATAACAAACTTGATGCAGGTTATTGAGCCAGCAGCAGGTTGGGTTGCAGAGTAGGCCAGAAAGGTCTATGGACAGGTTGGTTGCTTTGGCTTGGATGGAGACCTCCTCAGACTGCTTTGGCACTGGGTTCATGGGGTCCAGACAAATGCCACAGTCTCCACTGTTTCTAGTTCTGGTTAATTCTCTCTCTCTCCCCGGAGTCGAGTGAGCGTGTGTGTGTGTGTGTGTGTCCAACCAGCAGGTGTCATGTAGTTGACCCCCCTGAGTTCGTAGTTTATATCTGTCACAGAAAATAAAGTGGACTTTGTGAAGCACGAAGCATGAGCTAGAGATGGGTTAACACAATATGGAGGTGTGTATGTGTGTCAGGGGGATTCTGGACCAAAGGGCTCTACAGCTAAAGGTTAAGTTCATTCAGGAGACCTGGAAGAGTGGTGGTGGTGGTGGTGGTGGGGGGGGGGGGGGGGGGGGGTGATGATGCTCTCACACACACACAGTGCTCCGGTTTGCCAGTGCTCTTTGAATTTGGTCGTGCTTTTTGTTTGAGGATAAGAGGTATGGGGAAGGGGTGGGGCGGGGCAGTTGGGAAAGGGGTCATCAGCCCAGAGAGGATCAGGGTTTAGGGGACAGAGATCAGCGGTCAGGGTTGGATCCATCCACCACTCCTTTCCCAGATCTGCAGAGGTATGAGAGATGGAAAGGGGAGACAGGTGAGGGACAGAAGCCTAGGAAAGAAAGTGCTGGGTGGGGTAACAGCTGTTCAGCACACCTCCTTCCCTGGAGCTCCGCTGGGCAGGATGTTGAGCTGGGTGATCTGAGCAGAGTGCTCTTTAGCCTTCAGCCTCAGAGCTGCAATACTGGAGGCCCTGCGATCCGCTGCAGCTAAGGAGGAGGGAGAGGAGGAAGGTTTGGAGAGGACCGGCGGAGGGATGGAGGGAGTCTCGACGGGCGGGGCAGGCTGGCGGAGGAGAGTGGCGGCGGTGGAAGCACTGGTCAGAGGGCCCGTACTGGAGAAGAGCCTGAAAGAGAAGAAGGGATGAGAGATGAAGGGATGGGAGAGAGAAGAGAGTGTTAGACCAGAATGTCAATGGCTTCTCCAGGTATTTGCAATCACCAGCTTAATAGTACTGATGATGGTGGATGCTGATGGTCACAGGTGTTAGGTGGTGCTTTAGGGTACGGTACAGGTGTGAGATGGTGTTATAGGGTACAGTACAGGTGTGAGGTGGTGTTATAGGGTACATTACAGGTGTGAGGTGGTGTGTTATAGGGTACAGTACAGGTGTGATATGGTGTTATAGGGTACAGTACAGGTGTGAGGTGGTGTTATAGGGTACAGTACAGGTGTTAAGTATACAACTTTATGTAAGTAGAGGTACCTATTGTCTCACCTGCCGAAGGTGGGTCCCATGAAGGCAGGGTGACGGAACATGGCGGCTGTACCCAGGAATGTTCCGAGGCCCAGCGGTGTCCCTAGGTGCTGGCCTGAGTGGCTGCTATGGGGATGAGCCAGACCAGGAAATGCAGCGGCAGCAGCAGCTGTCCAGGCAGACTCTAGGATGGGGTGAGGGTGTGGGGGAAAGGGACCCCCATCCAGGTAGTGGCTGAGGGGGTGGGCGGCTGACAGGGGGCCGGGGAAAGGGAGTCCAGAGGGGTGCGTCTGGACACCTGCCTTCTCACGCTTACGCCACTTAGCACGACGATTCTGAAACCATACCTAGAGAGAGAGAGTGGGAGAGAGGTCAGAGGTTAGCCAACATAGATATAGGTAGGCTACATTTAATTTTGTACAGGTTCATCAGATTGAGTGAATAGAATACAATAGAACAGAATAAAACAAAGTTGTCTGCCCATGCTGGCTACCTACAAATTGATATTGAGAAACATGAACAACTTTGGAGCGATATAAGGTGACATAAGGCTGTTTAGGCAGCGGCCTACATTTGGAATATCGGGAAACCCTTGCTATGCCACACCGAACCTGCTCGAGCGCAAGCTCCTGTGTAAACGGAAGATCCCATCGCTCTGGTTCATGAGGTGACAAACAGGCGGAAAGTCAGCGGTAATTACACACGCACTAAAACCCGCGCTCCCTCATGGTCCGTTAGTCTAAAGTTAGCTAATTAAAATCAGTTCCCCCTGCAGTCTGACTGATATACTGAGATTGATGTGGCGCGCGGTAATTAAGAACCGTGTTAACAAAAGATGGGGAGAATAACAGCTGAACAGAGTCCAATAACAATTAATGCGCTTTAAATTAAATTCTTCAAAATGTTGAACAAGTCATTTCCAAAGGGTATTTAACTTTCCCACGCCCGCCCACCTTGCCTATTGCGCTGCTGAAACAGGGGCTCTAACAATGGAAGAAAATGTCAACAGTAAGAGAAAGTGAACGATATTAGCCCTGCACACACACACACACACACACACACACACACATTCACACACTATTCCCGTTGGAAGCTGTTTAGCATTACACGGCCCCTCGGGAATTTACGAGTTTTTATCACCTCCCGATGGCGCCCGTTAAGTGATTTGTTCACCTACGGTCCCGCGAGGGGACATCTGTTGTTTTATACCGGCCGTAACCCCAGACGGAGCATCGCTGTGTTTGAACTGTCTCTTTGGTTATGAGCCCTGGGCTAATACATGCAAGCCACGCTCTCTATGGAGAGATGGGAGAGGAGCGGGAGAGGAGAGGAGATGGGGAGGGGTGGGGGGGGGGGTGGGGGGGAGCAAACACCTTTAATGGTCTCTCATTCGCTCCAAGTGCAAAGCATCGGATCAATGCGGCTCTATTGCAATCACAAAATGAGAAATCAAATAGCATTATCCTGCAGCCACCCCTCTCCCCCCTCCCCTCTCCTCTCTCTCTCTCCATCTCCCCCCTCCCTCTCTTCCTCCTCTCTCCCTTTCTCGTTCCGGCAAAGGTAATTCAAATACCATTTTCTCCCTGAGAATAGCTCGTGTTTGCTCTTGGGCTAAGTGCGCTTTTATGAATCGTCCGCGTCCGCTTAATTACCGTTAAAACGTCCCTCAGTGCATGTAATAACTTCCAATAACAGGATGGAGCTTCGCTACGCAGCAATTGGGGTCATTTAACACATCTCAGGGTAGTAAATCACTCAGACCCTCATAAAGACTTTTATCCATAGGCTACTGCTAAAGGCCTGAACTTGTGGCTACTTTAGTGTATGCGTCATGTCAACAAAAAACCAGCAAATAACATAGGCATATTGGAAAACACAAATAATTATACTTAGTAAAATTATGATTCTATGAAGGTGTAAATCTGAAGATGCTTGGAAATTATGTTAGGCCTACATTGTATAAATATGCATTTGATGTTTTTGATTATTATAATATAACAAGACATAGGCCTAATAATAATAAAATAGGAATTGTTTCATTACATAATCTAAGCCTAAGTGATACTGGCTTTTATATTCGTTTCTAATTTGGTAGCCTATTTCAATAACCTATTTGAAATGTTTAAGTGTTATTATATAAGCATTTTAGTTGAAAGCGACAGTCAGCCATAATTGCAGCAATAAAACGTTAAAAAGCCACTTACTTGGACTCGCGCCTCGGTGAGATCCAGCCGCATCGCAAGCTCCTCTCTGAAAAGGCAAGGAAAGAGGTTACCGTTTTTGACCGAGAACTCAACTGTTTTTTTTTTCTATCCCGCACCGGTAACAATACAAGAAAATTGTTATTTTTCAGACACCGAAAACCCACAGCGAAACGACGGTCATTTATGCTATTTTCCTTACGATGGTTTGAGAGAAATTGTCAGGGTGATTGTATTGTAATCTGTCTTTTTTTGCCCATAATAGCTGCCTTATACAACCGCTTTTCTTTAGAGTCAGTCGAACAACATAATGGTGGAATTTGGAAATAATGACACCCAAACTATTACAAAGACATCGAGCGCTTGGCTGAAAGAGAAGTCTATACCTGCACAAATTGATTACCACAATTTCGCCTAAGAAATAATAAACGCACATCGATACAAAAACATCGATCAACAATAGCATATTTATTATTTGGCTCATGTTGCCATTGTTAAATAATATTTTCCAAATAAATTACCCCGTTTAAAACATTATATTTTCTATTCCTTATCTTGAACGTGTCCTATAGATGATTTACCTTGCTGAAAGCGATAGGCTAACACAAGCCACTGTCTGTCTGCTGCATGCATGGAAAATAATTATGACATTCTGAAGCCTGTTGTAAATTTCATTATGCATAATAATATTCCATTCTGTAATAGTAAAATTACAATAAGATAATAGGCTAATAAGAGAAATCTCATCTCAAATCGAAATATTCAACTCTACATGTGGGGTCCTGAAAACACATATAGGCCTAGCTAGAATACATTTGTTTTTAGAATAATATTAGGTTTTCATGTTTGGTTGAAAAAAAATACATTTGAAATTCCCTTCTAGGCCTACATTTTGTAGTCTATTGCATCAAAAATAAGTAGGAGCAACTCGTGTATAAAAAATGTCCACAAAAAACACCAGCCTTAGCAGTGACTTACTCTCAATTCATCAGTAAGAAGAAGAAAAACAATTCATGACGTGGTTGAGGAGCAAAACATAATGAGTCTGAAATAGAATTATATGCCAGTAGCCTATGTGGAGCCTAAACAAAAAATGAAAAAATAGACACGATTTAATATGATTAAATTAATTTGCCACTGCCAAAAATCAGTGTTCACAAACATTATTTGCCTTTATTTGTCAGTAACAGGTGGATTTGTGTAAAATGCTGTTTTCACTTCCTCTCTTCTCTCGAGATGCGTAGCCTAGACCGTCAGCTAATGAATGAATCAAGAAAGAGTTGAGGTGTGCGTCACCGTGTGTGTGGGTGGGTGAGTGTATGTGTGTGTGTGCGTGTTATACCCTTGAGCTTGGGCAGGCCCAGAAACCTAAATTGCGTTGAAAAGATCAGCATTACGCACGGACAAGCTGCCACCAGCTCATTTTCCATATGAGAATAATATCCATATCGCCGATAACAATGAGATGAGGTAAATGTGACAAAACGGATTGGTGCTCCCACTTTAAGCTATTGTTCTGCCTTATGTAAGGCACTGGTTCGGCTACACGGTAGGTGTCAACGCACCAGTGTCGAATTATAGACGGGTTGAATTACCTAAGTGGATAAAAAGTGGACTGTTTTCTAGGCCTACTATTTTTTTAAACATAAATAGTGACAATAAAGGGTTTTAATGTTGTTACCACAGACATCAAAATTAAAACATAGGCATCACACATTACAAGGCTTGTGCATGTTTGACCTCATGTTATAAAAGTTAATACACCATGGTATGATATAGCAGATTTGTGACATTCTTTCACATTTTTCTGAGTTATATGTTTGCCTCTGGTAGTTGTATCTCAGGCTCTGTAAAGATAAAATAATGTTATATTTTCCAACTTGAACTATTCCGTTATTATTATTATTATTATTATTATTATTATTATTATTATTACTACAGTAGGCATACTGCTACTTGTTGTTCGTTATGTAGCATGCAATTAATGTAGCTTAGTCGAAAAATTGTAACGTGAAATAGAAACGTCTATCCAAAACGTGTATTTAAACGATGTTATGAGACTTGGTTGGGTGACATTATTGTAGATGTTGCATCAATGATGGTGTTCATGTTAGAGATGTTGCATATGAATGAATACCTGAGTTTGTGCTGTAACTGTAGCCTATACTGTACCTGGTGAAGACATCCGGGTAGTGTGTCTTCTGGAAAGCCCTCTCCAGCTCCTCCAGCTGATAGCTGGTGAATGTAGTCCTGTATCTTCTTTGCTTGCGTTTTAGCATCCCTTCCTCCGAGTCACTGCCTGCCGACAGACACACGCTGTCCTCGCCGTCCCTCACGTCTCCATCCCCGGCGTGGAGGCTCTCCCTCTCGTCGTCCTTCGGGGAGAGACCCATCGCCTCCCCGCAGCTCTCCTCCTCTTTCCCCGCGTCCTCCTCAAACTTCATCGACCCTAACTCGCCCAGCCTTAGCCCAGGCCCATCTTCCGGCCCTTCAACGGGACTCTGGCCTCCCTCTCCCCGGATCAGGGACGCGTTCTCCCGGTACGATTTGCTCCGGCTGATGCTCACCTGTGGAGCCTGGATGATTTTGAGGCTCTCGCAGGCTTGGTCCACCAGGAGCCTCTCCTTGTCCAATTTCTCCCCTAGGTCGTGAACTAAACCCCGGCCGTGGTCCAGGTACTTCCCCCCTGGTCCGTAGAGCCGGCGCAGCTTTGGTGGAAGGTGCATGTCTGTGTCTAGGGATAGGGGGTCTTTAGTCGAGCCTATAGGGAGGGTGACAAAGGTATGGAGAGGTTGACGAGACATGTGTAAGTGAAGGAAAAGCAAATGGAGCCTGGAGCGCAACAAGGCGCATAGTTCAATGCAAATTTATGCAGAAGGCATTACAGTGATAATGTTTGAATAAACTTGAAAATGTATTATTTCTGTCTACAGTTGCATGCACATTAGAGTAGCCTATGTATCGTATTGACGATAAAGTTGACAAATATCTTATTTTCAACTGTCACACAAACTCAAGACACTTTTAATCGGATGGATCATTATTATCAAATTTTTACTACCATTCTGCAGTCAGCTGTAGCCAATGCTTTATGTTGATGGTTTATTATCATGTTATAAACACACACCGTTATATTGCCTATATTCAACAACCAAAACATGTCCTTGGAGCATGCAGCAAACCTTTCCCCAGTTGAAGAGCCATGTTTTCATGAGCGGGGTTGTCTTACCTTCGGTCTGCTTGTCTTGCTCCTGTCTCCCCGGTAGAGCTGTCAAACTTTGCGCCCCTATCATCCTGACTTTACAGGGGCTCCGTCGGCCCAGAATACTGTCTATACAATAGGAGGAGAGCAGAGTGGGCGATTTACTCTTACATTCTCCCCGGTCGTGGATATCTTCTTCGAACTGACTAGTCATTTTGATCTGTTTAGTGAAGCGCTTATTTGACAGGAGAGCGGCAGTAGCCTAAATATGATCCTCACTCACACTCCCTCACTCTCTCTCTCTTTCTCTCTCTTTCCCTCACTCTCTCTTTCTCTTTCCCTCACTCTCTCTCTCTCTCTCTTTTCCTCTCTCTCTCTGTCGTTCCGAGATTGTTCCTCTCACTCTCCCTCCCTACCCAGCCGTTAATGACAGACACGGTTGGCTGGCTCAAGCTCCGCTCTCCGCGTGCTCGCATTGACGTGTGTTATATCCCCTGATTGGCTCGCGTCGGGGAAAGAGAAGCTTTATATATTTTAGCTGTTAAAGTTAATTTTGGAGAAACGGAAAAAAACAAAGCTCGCAGTGGAGCCCTGCTCGGATGGACTGAACTCAGTATTCGATTTTCCTTTTGGATTTCAAAAGGATAGATAGGCTATTTAAGTAGGCTTATATGGTAGGCCTACATATAATAGGCTGCTAATTATAATTATAATAGCCTAACAATAGTAATTATAATTATAATTATAATAACAACAACAACAATAATAATAAAGACATTATATTGGCCTATCCAAATATGGATTATTTTGTTGAGTTAAATAATCATACATCATAGTTCAGCCCTTCAGTTAAAGGACAATTCCACCCAAAAACTATCTTTGGGTATTTGTTTTATTAGTCCATTGTTGATATAGTCCCTAAATGTTTTGCATGTCAGCAATCAAGTTTTCAAGATATAAATAACTGTGAAAATACAGAAATACAGCAGGTATGATGCATTTTGCATTATATGATGCAAAATGCATCATATGGCTGAATTTCTGTATTTTTAAAGTTATATACTATATCTTGAAAACTTGATTGCAGATGTAGCACATGGGATGTGTGAAACTTACTCCTCAGCCTGAAGTGTCCTGCTTCCGTGGCCTCATTAGCTAGCTTTTGAGGTGGTGCATCGGCTAAGATGCTTGAGGAGGGCGGTCATGTGTTTGAGAGGCAGCGGTCCCGAGTTCACACCAGCTATGGGCCAAATCGGGATGAAGTGGTACTCGCTAAGCAAGCAGCGTGATGTCCTTTACAGTGGTGCCGTGACCCGGATCTACAGTGGCGCTCAGCCCAATGCTGGGGTCGCTGTTGAGGAAGTTTGAGGGGTAAATGTAGCACATGGGGATGTGTGAAACTTCCTCCTCAGCCTGAAGTGTCCCGCTTGTGTTGCCTCATTAGTTAGTTTTTGAGGTGGTGTGATCTGCTAAGACGCTTGAGGGAGGACGGTCAAGTGTGCTCGCAAGGCAGTGGTCCTGAGTTTGTGTATGGGCCGAATTGGGAGGAAGTGGTTCTCGCTAAGCAAGCAGCATGACGTCCTTTACACTGACATGCAAAACATTTTGGGACTATATCAACAATGGACTAAACAAATATCAAAAGATAGTTTTGAGGTGGAGTTTTCCTTTAACTGAAGGGCTGAACTGATGCATGATTGCTGGGCTGCGATGTCCATCCATGTCTGAGGAGGTTAGATGCGGCCACTAGGGGCAACAGTGAGCACTGTTACCTTCAGGTTTTGGTTTTGCTAGGGTGTTGGATGGGCGTAAGCATCTGCCTCTGGTGCCAAAGGTTGTATGTTCGAATCCAGCGATCGAAAGTTGCTTTTGATATTTTTCAAATCTAGTCCATAGTTTAATGTGAGCCTTGTCTACGCCTCTCTAAACTTCATCATCCTCGTTTTATAGCCTACTTTAATTCCATCAAGTCCCTCGGATCAATAGCCTATCTAATAAGAGAGAAAATAAAAGTTACCAAACTGTAGGCCTATGTAATCTTAGAAATATTCAGAATAATAGTGACATATTTTATCCTGTAGGCCTATATTAGGCCTAATGTAAACTAGGACTTTAATCTTGTGTATTCCCAGGACAAATTAGAAAAACGTAAAATGTATCTTGTGTATTCCCAGGACAAATTAGAAAAATATAAAATGTAAGATTATAGGCTCGATGTTCTGTAATAGAATAAGGATTTTTACAGTAGAGTACTTTCATACACTCTCCTTTTCAACGAACAATTGCCTTATATTAGCTGTAAATATAATCAAACAATCACTGCAATAACTACCAAATTATCATGACAATTTGATAAATTGATTGCTATTGATTACACAGAAACGCTCTCAAAATCCCTGTCACCTTCCATCTCTTGCTCCACACACACGCACACGCACACAGACACACACAGACACACGCACACGCACACTGCAACAGGGGAACACGAAACACTAATTGCCTAGCCTCTCTCCGGCAATCGCAGAGGCGATCAGATGGTCCGCTTGCTGGATGATTGACTTAAAAAGTGAAGGTGCATGGGGATGATGAGAAGGCGCGTGGGGAGCCGGGACGCCTTGCAGGCTAGCGCCAGAGAGCGGGAGATGGATCGAGAATGTAATTTTAAATGAAAGTCTTTTTAACCCGCTGAAAATGGCGTGACCCCATCCTTCGCCTCGCAAGCCCATCACTTTTAAAAGGATCATTTTCAGAATTCAATCCCAAAACTTCAACAAGCTACAATTGACTCTTTCTTTCTTTCTTCTGCTGCTTCTCTCCCTTTATGTGGCTGCCCAGTTACTACGATTCTGAAGAACATGAAAAATAACAATAAAACATATCTTCAGAAAATTGTTAAAACTTTTTTCAAGTGATATAACCTTCTGATTGTTCTAGCTCTCGTTCATGGATTTCCAAGAATGGCATTGTTATTTTGTGAAAAGAAAATGAATTAGGTTTTCTGGTTAGAGAGATGCCCAAGATTCAGTTCTGTCATAGACAATATTCAATAGGATATTGAATTCATTTAATTGAATGCATTTTCAGGATGACACATTATTTGTATGCCTGATCTTATTTCAAAACGATTCACTCATCTTGGTGAAAATTGCAGGCAGCATTTTATTCATTCATTCAAATCAGGCCTCTAACGCGTGACCGTAACCAAATGTTCCTCGTTACTGACAATTACAAACAATTCACCGCGTTTATTGAGTCAGAAACTTCAGGCCTCGTTTTCTGCTCACAGATCAGCACAGTAATGAGATTTAATAACAATATAAAATGTTCAGTTTTTTGTCCTCCGCGGTCACAAACAGATGCATGTAATACAGACGGGTATTTAGCGTAGCTATGTAATTTGGGGGCCACAATTTGATTCATTTATCCGCGCTCTGTTATTAACCCGTGAAAAGAGAGATGTCAGCCGCCGTTTGAGCCAGCAGGACATCCGCGCTTTGTTTAAACGCACTAATTATGCCAGCACACATTAGCGAGGGACGAAATAAGCGCAATTTTCACATTTTCAATTTCCGCTCTATTTAGCCCGCCTCATGCGGGTTGCAGAAGTTGGGGGAGGAGGGGAGGCTCGTGTTCTTTCCGTTCCCCCTCTCTCCCCCTCTCTCCACCTCTCTTTCACCCTTTGCCACAGTGTGTTTTGTATTTTCATAACACCCTAACTTGATAATTTTTTACATCCCATGCACTTATGTAGTGTATTGTGTTGCTTTGCTGTTATGGTCCCAATTGGAATTCGTGCAAGTGTAGCATAACGTGCAACAGAAAAGGCACTAGAAACCATTTTCACCACAGGGTCAATTTCAAGACCATTTCCCGGTGTGTTTGCATATGCATAACAATACAAGGCTAAGTATTGGGGTCACTTTCAGCAGACTACTGATTTAGGGTCAGTTCTTCCACACCCCATCTCTAGTATGAGTTAAACAATAACAGGTCCCGGGGCAGTGGTTAAGGACATGGCCTAACCACAGGTGTGTCGTTCAAAATGCTTAGATCTTGGAACGTTTCCAGCTAGTGTTCCGTGGGTCACCGCTTAGCCATGTGAGCTTTTGTGTGTGTGTGTGTGTGTGTGTGTGTGTGTGTGTGTGTGTGTGTGTGTGTGTGTCTCTCTTTTCGTGTCTATAGCCTACTCTGCATGTGTCCGCACAGATGCTTTAAAGGTTGGACCAACTATCTCCATATTATTTCCATCCATTCCACGGGCGCCATCTTCTGGACTAATCAACCTGTCTGTCATTGCATCTGGAGAGAGAGATCTGCCTAATAACCCATTAATAGCCTAATAATCAGAGAATTGTGAACTGGAGTAACATTAACTGACAGCAAGTGCTCATTACAAAATGTAAGGGTTTACATCTTGATTTTAATTAATTTACATATTTTATTCCGTTGGTTAAGGCTGATTTTCGACAGTTATGCATAATTGCATAATTAATCAACAAGCCGATCTCGTGAGTGTTTTCCTTGAGAGTAAATGTGGTTTATCTTCTGACATCACATCAAGTGGTGATTTACATGATGGGATTATTCATATAAAATCAAATCGAATCAAATTTTATTTGCCACATGCACGGAATACAACAGGTGTAGACATTACAGTGAAATGCTTACTTACAAGCCCTTAACCAACAATGCAGTTTAAGACAAAAATAAAAATAGCAAATAATTAAAGAACAGCAGTAAAATACAATAACAGTAGGGAGGTTATATACAGGGGGTACCTGTACCGGTTAGTCGAGGTAATTGAGGTAATATGTACATGTGGGTAGAGTTAAAGTGACTATGCATAAATAATAAACAGAGTAGCAGCAGCGTAAAAGAGGGGGTTGGGGTGGGGTGGGGTGGGGGGGGCAATGCAAATAGTCCGGGTATCCATGATTAGCTGTTCAGGAGTCTTATGGCTTGGGGGTAGAAGCTCTTAAGAAGCCTTTTGGACCTAGACTTGGCACTCCGGTACTATGACTAGGGTGGCTGGAGTCTTTGATAATTTTTAGGGCCTTCCTCTGACACCGTCTGGTATAGAGGTCCTGGATGGCAGGAAGCTTGGCCCCAGTAATGTACTGGGCCGTACGCACTACCCTCTGTAGTGCCTTGAGGTCGGAGGCTGAGCAGTTGCCATACCAGGTGGTGATGCAACCAGTCAGGATGCTCTCGATG